GTGATGCTCAAACCACAAACCCATCTGGCCCAAGCCTGTCACCGGCAATACATCACACTAATGAAATGGCAGGAGCCCAATGCTATCTGTCACAAGCAATCTGCATCTGCTTACTGACTGAGCGGAAATGTGGAAGGGGAAGACAAAACACTGAGCAAGACAAGAGAGGTATGGTGTCCCCTGAGCAGGTGCATGTTTGTGTTTTCATGTTTAAATTTGAATTTGTGTGTATGCTCAGTTGTTGGGCAATAGTACTGCTTTTATTTTGAGAGGAGGAAGCAGTCACAGCAGAAAATCTTAACTTCTGTTTCTACTGGATCAGAGAGCTAAATTTGTCTTTGGTTCAGAGAAAAAGAAAGTTTACTGTTTGTCAGAGAGACAGTTTCTGTACCTGGTCTACGTCTAATATAACAATTAGCAGAACCTGAGTGGAGTTTCTAGGCAAGGCAAGGCAAGTTTATTTCTATAACACTATTCACACACAAGTCAATTCAAAGTGCTCTAGACATTAAAACAATTCGAAATCAATAAGACAAACAGATATTTTGTTCCATGTTTGCCCTAATTATTTATGAAAACCGTTGTTTCCCAGAAAAACAAAATATGTTTTTTTGTACATGTTTCATTTTTAATTCTAGTCAGCTAACAAAAAGACTGAATTCTACATTAAGGCCTCTTTATGACCTACAGAAGCAAACAAAACCACCAGCATTGAGATTTGTGTAGTTGTCAAAAGTTGTTTCATGATCTAAAACTGCTGACGGGAGAAATTTTAGATTAGGTGACTTTAAGTTTTTAACAACAAAGATTCTTGATTAGTGAGACATTTGACTGTTAAAAGTCAACAGAATGATTTTTTTTTTTTCATTACAAAAAAAAAAAACTTTCGCATGTGACTTAATTACTATTTTGTCAACGGTGGATGCCAAAATCAGCACAAACTGTAGAGTTCTTCACAGGAGCTTTAAATATGCTAGTAAGTCATACTTTGTGTCATGTGGTTACAAGAGCTTTGCAAAACTATTTTGCATGTTATCAAAAATACTTTCATACAAGTTTTTGGACTCAACTAAAGTGTGATTAATGACCAGGTAACTTTTAATTAGGTTCTCATAATTTTAAGGTGTTTGATTCAACAGACTAGATGAATTTTTCTTATACACCGAAACCTGCACTGTGCTTTCACATGCTGTCATTCTGTCTTTGCTTATTTAGCCATCTTTATGTCTTAATAGCATCTTTTGACAAAATAATAATAATAATCCTGCTGACTTTTGAATGTCTAAATAATATTGTGTGAATATTGTTTAAAGAAATTGTAAAAATAGGTGTGTTTCTTTTGCTGACACCCACCCCCTGGCACTGATTACAGAAATTAAAAATTCATATACGAACGTCACCTACCTTGTTGCTGGTGCCCTTGTTTGCTTTTGGATATCATGCAAAGGCATCAATATGAATTTCAGTCTATTTCATTGATGTCAAAAATAATCCTCACAGGAGCTTTAAGTTAGATAAACACTACTTTTGCAACTTAAGTCATTTGGGTAATTCAAAAACTATTGAATGAAGAGTGATTGATTAGATAATTGTATATCATAAAGAAAATATAGCTCTGGTTTTTTTTCATTAGTCAGCACTAAACATGAGTAAACTTAGTTAACTTATATATTCTGTGAGTAAAATCATACCCTATATAGAGACAGCTCTTTATTATTGGCATATTATATCACAGATAGATATATAAACTAAATCTGTTTTGAACATTTAACCAGCTTAAACAAAAAGTTTACATCTGATTAGATGGTGAAAAAAAGCTCAAAGGCGGAAGTTTTAACTTTGTATAATAATTAGTGCATATATGAGAGAAGTGCACACAAATCAAACCCATTAAATTCAGCAGTCAGTAGAGTAAAGGAGTGTTGGTTGGCTGTAGGATAAAGAAGCCTCGTGACCAAAAGGTTGCAAATTGGAGTTTTTAATCCTCTGCTGCTCCACTGGAGCTGCTCAGCAGCAGCTGCAGCTGAGGGGTGAGGAGACTTTAGTCAATGCTCAGGGGTCCTTCAAGTTTCTTTACCCGCCACTATACTTAACACCCATAGTTCCTGCTGTGACTTAGATTTTATGAAGAGTACCATCATTGTGATACAAAATATTGCAGGAAACTCTGAATACAAACATGTTTGCATTTGTCAGAAAAGCAGCTTGCCGATTTCAGCTGCAGACAGTATCATTTTGAAACAGCTAAATGTGTTACTGCTTTTACATCCTCTCTTAACCCCCGGAGTTTGAGTTCACAGGGGCTTTGTAACAGTCTGCACACAGTCACTTACAGGCCTTCATTGTTTATTCAAACTTGTTGACATTTACATAATTTATTTGTCAGAACAAGTGTCAAGTAGAAAGTCCAAATCTGCATTTCAACCCTCTCCCTCTCCTAATGGTTTTGCTGCTGAGAAAAAAAACTAAACTCAGACACAATGACAAATTAAAATGACAGAGGAACAATTTCACAAATGCAAACTTTAATAACTATTTGCTTTTGCCATTGAGTTTAAGGCTAGAGTAAGACTTTGTTTTATTCTTGGTGGGTTGTATCCTCATGACCAGCCTCTGGATCTATAGATCACTTTTATTTCCCCTTATATGACAAGTGAATGGGCAGTGACAAGAAAATGTCAAATCTGAGTCATTAACTGCAGTGAACTGAAAATGCACCAGCCTGCTATTACTGAAGAGAAAGTCTGCCATCTGATGGACATTGTAGAAGTTGCATGCACTCCACAAATAGCACTTCCTTTAGAAGAAAAAAAAAAAAAGACTTTTTCTTTTGTCTTATTGTATTGTAGACATTCTTATTTTTAAATGTCCAAACTGTGTATTAGCTACAGTTTTTGTTTTTTTTTAAACTTTTTGCTTCAGTTTTATAACTCTCTGGTTGTATGCTGTATATGTTATATACAGTATCTGTAACAACACAGGATGCTGCGGAAGTAAGCACAGTAAATAAAGAAGCTCATAGGTGTGTGCAAAACTGACAGGTGGAGATGTAGCCAGAACTTAATCCTTATTCAGCCCTCTCTATTGTACATGAGGTGCTGCAGACAAGTTCACCTTAGCTGAGAAGGAAAAAAAATCAGATTTGTGCATGAACAATCACGACTCAGTGGCTTCACTTTTACAGTCCCCACAATGTGAAAAACATACATTGCAGAAATGCTTGTATATACAGCCCTCCTATATATTGTCCTTTAGACTTAAGAGTGCCTTGTCAGTGTTTACTTAAGGTGTGACACTGACATTCTTACTCAACAACTTAAAATGAGTCCATACATCCATCAATGTATGACATAGTGACAAAAGCTGTCATTAACTCTGTGATTAGAAGAGACAAAATACCACCACACCCTCAAAACTAAAGAAAGCTACACTGTGAGTCATATAAGAGAGAGTGGGGTAAGTTGAGCCAAAGGGTAAAATGAGCCACCCCCTGTTACTTGGAAATTCAGATTGTTAAAATGTGTTACTTTGTCTTTTCAAATATACAGCTCTTAATGTTCTGAATCACTTCAAAGCATATACCCCATGCAAGGGGTAAGTTGACCTTATGAGACCTTTTTTTTTGGCATGCTATATTATCAAGACAGTTATGTTTACACTCATTCTGTTGGTTTACAGGGATGCGCAACCTCTTGAAATACATGCAGATACACTAGTTAGAGACAAAACTATGATTGCCTTGATGTAGTGATCTGAAATATGAAAAATGGCTCATCTTACCCCACTCTCCCCTACTGTAGATGGTGTTTCCTGTAAAATGGATCATAGCAAAGAGTGTTTGATGACATTATGAAGGTTATATTTAGTATTTTAGATTACAATTGACTAAGGAGGTTGGTTAAAATAAACTACGTCAAAATAATAAAATATAATGAGAGGTTTTTGATGATAAAATAAATAAATGACGGGAAAGAAAACAGCCAAACAGACCTAACAAAGTCTCTGTAAGAATCGTCCTTAGTTTCAATGACATTTGAATTCATCTGGATCTCCGCCAAAGTGACTTTAATAAGATTTGTATTGCACGTCGTCCTCGAGAGAATGTTGCGTCCGTACACGTAACCTGCCAGACGTTCGTATGAAACAGCTGATTAGTTGACGAGGCAACAACAACAGAAATCATTTTCCGCGGAGTTGACATTTGGCATCTAGGAAGCAGCTTTCCGCCACGTAAACGCAGCAAGAGGTCGCTGTTTGCAACAAAAAGGAAGTATTTGATTATCAGTGTTTGTATTGAAGTATTTGGTGGGAATGATTCCACTGCCTTAACGTATCGATCAACTATCGACAACGGAGGATCCTAATGATGGTGAGTTAGCGGTCAGGAACAGATAGTTTATGTTGTTTATTCGAGAGCAGCATGAAAATAGTGTTCTGCTGTAGGCCTAATCGGTGATTTTTTTCCCCAGTTAGCATTAATTTGACAGTTTGTCTTAGTTTGTGCAACCAAGGTTGATAAAACTCTTGTAACCATGGCAATGCTGTTTATGACGCCTGCAGTGATACCGCTCATAAGTGAATGTAGATCTCACATCTCGTCAAAATTAATTGATTCTCGGTTAAACTTGAAAAAAAGCTACTTTTGGGTTGTTAATTTGGTTGCCAGATTGTTTTATTTTTTTAAATAAACATTTTCTTTAAAAAATAAAGATTAAAATTGACAGTTAGGCCTAAGAGTTTATGTTTTATTCAGTAATAGGGCAGAGCTGAATTCATTATTATTTTTTGGATGATCAGTTTCTCTTTCCATTTACTTTAGGAGCAGAAGTGCCAAGCAGTCATCTGTCCCAGCCTCTCTCATTTGATCATTTTACCATCTTCTTTCTCATATATATATGTATACAAAAAAATCTCCTATCTTTGAAATGCAATGAGGCACTTACAGAAATTCTGCATTGAACTGAACCTTTTTTTTTTAACTGTGTTTTTTCTTGTTTAAGATGAACTTCAGCACTGATGCCCATTGCGGCAGTCATACCAGCAAAGAAAATATTCCACCTTCAGGTAAATCAGAAGTGCAGCAGGTCCAGCGACCCAGGCAACGGACTGTGCTCGGTGTGCTGTCAGAAAATGAGCAGCGTGGCCGATCCCACAGCCAGGTGGGTAAAAGGAGGGTGCACCGCCTGGAAAGTACTGTCTTGTGAAAAAAAAGAATAAAATTTCAAATTCATCTCTAAATGACACTTATTCTAAGTGGTTTTCCTCTACAGGGAAGCCAATTTTCTAAACACAGCTCAGTCACAGACAGCTCCCAGCTCACCTTCTTTGGCTGCCGCTCCAGTTCCAGCTTTGACGTGTACGTTGAAGAGGCCTGTGAGGTTGTTCTTGCAGTTTCTGGTCAAGAAGTTGGCAGCTGCTCTGCGGATGCAGAAAGTGAAGGCCTTAACAATGATCATGCGGGACTACTACTGGAACTGAGCTCAAGTGAGTTTGCTAAAAAAAAAAACCCACACCATTCTCAACGCAGAACTACTCTTCTTCTTAAACTAATGATTGTTGCCTCTTGCAGGTTCTTGCCAGGATGTTTCCATGCAGTCTGAACTTGATAAATCCCTGATGTCAGGAGAGGTGCTGTGTGTCTCACAGTATGCACAGGACATTCACTGGCACCTGAGGGAGAAGGAAGTGCGAAATTACCCACCAAAAATCATTAGTTTTGTATTGCTATTCATAAGGAACATTAAATGCATCATAGTTATGAGGATTTGAAGGGAAAAATCTTTCATTCTCCTTTGCTTCCAATGCTAGGTGCAATTAAAGCCACAGCCAGGCTACTTAGACAAACATCCAGAAATCACTAATGACATGCGGGTCATCCTGGTTGACTGGCTGGTGGAAGTTGTTCAAGAATATGACCTTCGTCCTGAGACTCTTCACCTCGCTGTCAACTATTTAGACCGCTTTCTCTCCTGCACAGCACTCGTGAAACGGGGCAAGCTGCAACTGGTCGGCACTGCTGCATTAATGATCGCCGCGTAAGCATATCCTTCTGTCTCTACACATTTGAAACTTTGCATTAACTCACTCATTTGCCCGAAAAACTGTTTATTTATGAGCACATAAAACTGTTTATGCTTTATCTTATAGTAAGTATGAGGAGATTTCCCCTCCAGAGCTGAGTGAGTTTGTGTACACCACTGACAGCACCTATACCCAGACGCAGTTGATCCACATGGAGCGTGTTTTCCTCCGAGTGCTGGCTTTCAGGATGGCAGCGCCTACTGTAAACCAATTCCTTCGCCTTTACATGTCCATCCAGCCTGTGTGCCCCATCACAGAGAATCTTGCCATGGTGAACAAAACGAGCAAACCAGACTTTTAATGTACTTCATCTGTCTTTGAGGTGACCGCCTTCAAGTCTTTGGATTTCATTGTAATTTGCTGGTGTGTTTTTTCTGCTTCTAGTATGTAGCAGAATTAAGCCTCCTGGAAATCCACCCATTCCTGCAGTACAGACAGTCAGTAGTGGCAGCTGCAGCATACTGCCTAGCTATCTATACTGTAAACAGAAATCTGTGGGTAAGTTTGTCCAGACCACCAGTCATTTCTAAGAGAACCCCCCAAGGATGAAGCCTAAATGTGACTATTAAGGTTTTTTCCCCTCATTTTAGCCTGGTTCCTTACGTTCTTTTACTGGTTATACCACGGCTGAAATTGATCCTTGCCTGTCTGAACTCTACAAGCTGTACGTCTGTGCAGAGAGTCGCCCACAACAAGCAGTCAGGGAAAAGTATAAGAGTTCAAAGTAAGGTGGAGTTCGAATTCTTTTGAAGATGTACATACATGCATACTCAAGTAATCATACACAGCTTAAATGCAGCCTTTGGGATCTTACATATGGAGTTATGTATTTTCAGGGTAGTTTATGAATTCAGAACAGGATTTTAAATCTAAAGTGTTTTTTAAAATCTAGTCTTTTTTCATCTCTCTGTTCACAGGTATTGTCGTGTTTCATTGATCACTCCACCTGCTGCCATGTCTTTCCAGTGAATCAGAGCCCTGCCCATCCTCTGACGGTCCTGCCAGATTATATAATTACACAGAGACAGAATGAACACAGCTGATCAAACTGACAATTCCATTCAAGGCATACAACACTTCCACACACAATATTACCTTGATTTTTTTTAAATCACATCTCCAAATACAGTAAGTTTAAGAAAGAAAAATTGGATGCCTGACAAATCAGTACAACAACCTACAGGTGTCTATGCAAACTGTTTTTAATCTCGGTAAATGAAGTTGTTACATGCACTTTCAACACTTTGTTTGGAATAATGCTGTCATTTAATCCAGAGTAACAATATCCTGATATTAAGAAATATGCTCCATAGTGCTCCATGTAGGGAGTGAATTGTTAGGTGTACTCGAAAGCAGGAAAGCAAATCACCAAATCAAGTTTCTGTTCTGATAGGAAATGTTTTATTGCAGTTCCTTTCCAAATAAAGAGTTCAGCACAGAACCACTTCAGAGGCTTGCTGTGAGGTTTTATTTTGAAAGCGTCTACCGGAAATTCATATGTAAGCCAGTCTCATTTGATGGTTGTGTACCTGTAGGCGTACGCCAGATTTAAATCAGCGAGAGAAGTTAACGCTGAATGGGACAAGACATTTCTACATTCATGGAAGTTCAGAGCTACAATCGAAAACTATTAAGGTGACCCCGAAACTACCGAGCACTTAAGCGAAAATAGTTTCTGTCTAAAGGTAAGTAACGTTTAATATTGAATTTAGTGTTGGACGAAGGACGCATGTCATATCTTTAGGTCTATCACAGGGTAACAAGTCAGTTAATATCAATATAAAAGAATAAATGTGTTAAATCTTAATGTAACTTGGTCTCAGGGGACTTTCGAAAGACAACTCACAAGCGAGCCTGTTGTTCAGGTCAAACCTGATTCATTCACCTGCCGAGGTAACTGCCAACAACAACATTGAAGTAACATTACAGAGATTTTTTCCCCACATCACTTCATCTACTTCCTTTTAGTTTGTATTATTTTTTTCTACATATTTAATGGCATTAAAGTGAAACACGCGTGTAATGGTAAGTATTAAAGCCTAATGTTCAAGTACATAAGGCAGAAACGAAGTGTTCGTTTTCAGCCAACTGCGGTATAACGAATAATAATATTATTTATGACTCGTTGTCCAAATTCACAATTTTTTATTTCTATTAACCCATCTGTCTCCCATCTAGCTAAGGTATCATCTCTAATTATTGAGCCAAAAGACAAATACTGAAGCCATGATTATTTTTAAAGCACCTGTAAAGAGCTTATAGCAGGCTATAAAACAGGCAAACACTGAGTTTTTATGATCAAACAGCACTGTCAGTAACAAGATGGATTATTTCTACTCGTAGTCTATTGTAGCTTTTAATGTCTGAAACCACAGCAATGAGGTAGGCGTCAGACCAGTGGAACAAATACACTGAAAGCAGGGAGAAATTTTTCTTTCAAAACACTACTTATGTGTACAGAATACATTAAGCAAAGAGGTTAAAGGAAATAATATTCTTTTTTTTTCATTTAATACACTCAAGGTCATCTTACAAGGTGTCATAAAATAAGCTGCCACATAACGAAAATATATTGACATATTTAGATATATACCTAAAATCAAATCAGAATACCATTTGTAAAATCCATGTGATCACAGTTGAAAAGCCAGATGAAACAGATCCGTCTAAAATTGGGGTTTGAAAATGGAAAAGTTGATGTAATGGAAGCAGAAGGTACTGCTTTTTCTGGAAGAAGCAAAGCTGACACAAAACAAAATTTCTTTAACATTTTTAAACAAAGTGATCAATGACTAGCCTCTTTGCAGATAAAATTTTTGGAGTAATAGTACAAAATTTAAAACTGCCATTTCAACTTATTTCTTAATTGGTATCACTCCTAAGTCCCTCCCTTGGTTTATTTTTTCCTTCTCAGTGTGCACATCCTCTTCTCAGCATGGCTGAGCCTGCTGAGCTGCTGCTTATTAAGGACCAGTATGAGTTGGCGTTTCGTTCCCTGAGCCGTGGGCTGGCAGCAGAAGAAGCTGGGAATAAAGTAGAGGCCCTGGAGTATTACAGAAAAGGTCACCAGCACCTTACCCAAGGAGTGGAGGTGCCCACTGGAGGGACAAGGCAGCATGGAGCGGTCTGGGACACAGCCAGACAGCTTCAGCAGAAAATGAGGGGCACGCTGCAGACTGTCAACACCCACCTCTCTGATCTGCAGACCTCCCAGATGACTTCAGGGGCTCATAGGGGCCTACTGTTAAAAGATCTTCAGCCTCCCCAAAGCTCCCTTCACCATTTGTACCCCAGCATACCTACCACGAACCAGAATACAACCCCAACCCCTAAAACTCCCCCTCCTAGGCCTCCTTCCCCTGCTGTTCAGCACATGCACACACACCCCGCAGCAGCACCAGGAACAACTGCCATGGCAAACACAGGGGAACAACCACCAGCATACACACGGCAGCCAACTGCTGGCCACCGCAGCCTGGCTTATGGTCTTGCTGGAGGAGGCCTCCAGACTGGAGCAGGTACAGGAAGTGATGGACATGACCTGCTTTTCATCCCCTCAGGAGTGCAGATGTTTTTCGTGGCGCCAAATGGACAGGTCAGCTCTCTGTCTTATCCTGGCTTCCTTCGTATCATTGCATTTGACAACCAGCAAAAGGACGTCGCTGCAGGGAGGCCCTCAGCATTTTTACATGTAAGTAAACAGCATGCTTTAACAATTATGTATGTCTTTGGGTGTTGGTGTGACACAAAAGATATTTTCCTGGGGTGTGTTCTTTGGGCAAGCATCTTTAAGTACAACTATTTGCAAAGCTACTGGTTTAAATACTATTAGACAAACTATGTTATGAATTAAACATTAATGTTGGAGCATAGATAGTTATCATATTTAGTTACAAAATTTGGGGTCTTCATGGTCTTCATAGCAACTCATGCACATTTTATGATAAAAAAGTAAAGTGGTTTTAAAGGTTCATGAATTTCACTTGCATCTCTGTTTTGTCTGTTTTATCAACTTGATGAATAGATGATTTGTCTTTCAGACCTCACAGAGCAGTCAAAAACACACATCCAACTTCTCCAGGGTTCAATTTGATCTTATAAAGAAACAGGCCATAACAAAAAGTTAAATCTATTTGTAAGGACATAAAACAGACAAAAGAAACTCTTAAAATTTGAGAAACCAGCTATGATAAAATATGTTTGTCGTTTTCATTGATACCACTAAATCATCACTTTACTTATCTTGGTATACTCAAGCAGTATGACTCCCCACAATGTCAATGTGTTGCTTAATGTCCAACTGCTTAAGAGGAGTTTTGGAGTAAGTTTCTAATTACTTTGATAGCACAAGCTCCTCAAAATACATTATAGCCCATCCACTGTGACCCTGTGTGTGAGGCTGTAATAAATCCTGTTAGTTTTGTGTGATTTTTGTTTCGAGTCAAAGTAAATCTTATGAGATAGCTACAATGTATCCCTGCTCCTCTACAAAGCGTGCATTATTCCGTTCTGTGTACTGCAACTAAACCCATGACTCTCTGTTCCCACCACACCAGGCGGGTGGGCCGCTTGATTGTATTCTGGCTTTGCTTTGTTTCCCAGTAACACAATGGTCCCATTAACAGATGACTCTGCGCTTCTGTTGTGCTGTTGGTCAGTGTCCTGCACCCTCACAGGGTCATCTGTTTGACACCATAACAGTGGAATGATGCAGCAGAAAATCCGTACCTGATATAAGGTTTCTAACATGTCAACAAATGAAGCGCAGGCCGCCATATTGTTCTACGCACTGTGGACAGTTCTGGAAGTATTTAAATCTTTGCTGAGGTTCACTGGACACGCTTTGTGATCACACAATTTTTACTTAAACTCAAATATTATTCAATGGATTTTAGTTTGATAAAAAATTGATTCTTATCAGAGAGCTTGCTGATGCTTGTATATCTGTGACAGTCAGCTTTGGTCTGTGTTATATCAGCCTTGGCTACTTTATCGTCGTGGATGCAAAGTAAAGATTTGGCCGGGTTATTTTAACGTGTATTTGAGAGGGAAACAGGCTGAATGAGCCTTTGCAGCCTTACAAATCTAACCACTGAGGTTGCTGGGGGGTAAAAATATATATTGAGTGTCAAATATTTGAGACTATTGGAAAGCATACTGGACTTAAGTGTTTACTAACTGTTTAGATGTAAACAAGCATTAACTGGCAACCAGTCTAAAGCATTTACCACCTTTCCATTTTTTGATCCGTCTTTGTGCCTTTAAGGTTTGTGACTGGCTGTACCCACTGACAACAGACACCCCAGTCCTGTTGGCTAACTCAGGGGTCTACATGTTCCCTGATTGCCTGGCAGAGACGCCAGGGTCCTACGTGGGCATTGTGTTGTCCTCTGAACTGCCTGCTGCAGACCGAGAGATGTTTCATGATGTCTTATCACAGCTGGCTGACCTCAGGATTCAGGTAGGGAGAGGAGTGACTACTTTTGAAGAATATGAAAAAGAGGGTGGGGTGCCGACATCATCTCTTGCTTGACAGTTCAGGAGAAAAACAAAACAGCAGGTGTATTGTGGGTAGAAACATTCTTAGCTATCTGAGTCACATGAATGCGTGTTCTGTTTGGATTTATAAATGCATGTTCCTGATGTAATCATTATAATCATTGTAAATGATATGCATATGGCTTCAGGGTCCTGCGGGATCAGGGTCAGTCATCAATCTGAATGAGAAAATCCCCCTTGGTACCCCAGGAGGGCAAACAGCACTTGCCTTGCCCACAGGGGAGAAGGCAAAACCACTTCCTGGCTGGAGTGAAAAGATGGCACAAGGAATCTTGTCAGGTATGCTTGTAAACAATAATGCTCAGAGTGAAAAAGACTGACACAAAACACCACTGCTCCACGACCACTAGAGGACTCACTTTTGCTACTGTTGACAGAAATTTTTCCCATCAACCTCTTCATTTTTCTGCTGTATACCAATATGAGCAAAATGATAGCACCAACAATACCTCTTACTGAACATCTTTGCTCTTCAGGTGCTACAAAGATGAGTGTTGGTCTGGTGAAAGGGGCAGAGGCCACAGGTAGGGCCATTCATAAAGGAGCAGCCAAGATAAGAGACCACATCACACCAGAGGAGACTCCTTCAGAGGTCAGCCCTCGTGTCACCAAAAGTCTGCAGGTGGCCAGACAGGCTACTGGCGGTGCTGTACGGGTCAGCCAGTTCTTAGGTGAGTCATGAATATAGAAAAAAGCTAAAGGAGAACATAATGATCATTCAAACACCAGAGGGCACAGAGCAAATGAAAATCTGAAAACCAAAAATAAAAACAGGATGATGAGCAAGCATCACACACATTCCAAGAAAACTCCAAAAAGGCTCATGGGTTTCTGTATTATAAATGAATATGTTTAATTGGATAGACTTTTATGTGCACTTCTACTTGTGCATATTTTTCACAGTTGATGGAGTGAGTTCAGTGGCAGGACACGTGGCAGAGAAGATGGCGCCTCATGTGAAGAAACATGGCGCTAAGCTGGTCCCAGAGTCCTTGAGAAAGGGCAAAGATGGTCAGCCGTCTACTTTGGATGGAGCCAAGCATGTGGCAGTCAGCAGTGTGCAAGGTAGGTGCCAGGAAAAGAGAATTTTAGGGGACATGCTTGTTGATCGCATATGATTCAGCTCATCCTGTTTTATTGTCCTTGATGGTTTTCATATCTATAGCTTTGTCACTTGAAATCTTTCAAGTCTTTTTGGCATTTGCAAAAGTGAATGTCCCAGACTTTGTACAGTACCAAAGGTTTTTGGTTTATTTTCTTTATATGCACTGCAGGTTTCTCGACTATTTGGACCAGTCTGGAGACCGGAGCAAAGCTCATTGGCAAAAGCGTTGCAGCAGAGACAGTCACATGTGTGACCTACAAGTAAGTTTAACTTCTCTTAATTCACAGACATTTTCTGTTTATTTGTGAATTATTTCCGATTGTCTTTCCAGCCTGTTTCTGGAGGAAACTCAGAATTAGAAAGGACTCAGAATTAGAAACCAGTTCAGCTATTGCCTTCTCTGTTTCTTTCTTCTTGGTACGTTTGGGAACTGATCTGTCCTCACACTTGTTTCTTTTCAGATTTAGGGGCTTAGAGAATCTCTTAAACATGTCCAGGAGCACATGACTGCATGGGGGGAGTAAAGGCAAAGACTTTTGAACTTATAACTTACCTTGCATTTATATTCTTTCATTAACCCATATCAAGTCAGAAAATAACTCTTGATATAAAAAAATCCAATTTTATTCCAAAAAGCTAACATGGATTAATTTTTATCACGTTTACTGACACTTGCTTTCTCTCTGATTCAATTTTGTCTGGACGTTTTAGTGTGTTTTGGGTTCTTTTTTGACTTGATGTAGCTCAAGCTTCTGTTATTTGTTTGATTTTCTGGGTCGGTTACAGGTATGTTAACCTCAGCTTCATGTCTGCTTGTGTTGGGTGGTTCTACTTTTGCTGTTCTTACTTTTCTTTCTGACTTGTTGCCAATAAAACTGCTTAAAGTTGAATAAGTCTTATTTTTTCCTGACGTTGCGGTAGAATTTCAAATCTTTACACTTTTATTTTCCACGCCACATGTTCCTAACTCAGCCATTGTATTTGTGGTGAAGGTACGGTAATGATGCAGGTGCAGCCACAGACACAGCAGTCAAGTCAGCGATCAATGTTGGTGTGACTGCACACAACATTGACAATCTGGGCATTAAAGCCATCCTGAAGACTGCAGGGAAGCACACCGCCAAAGCCATGGTGAAAAGCCCGAATGGAAAGGCAGCAGAGACAGAAGGGAAGGAAGCTCAGAAGAGAGAACATCAACCAGAAAACAATATGGGAGATGTCAACATGAAGGGAGAAGACGAGAAGAAGAAAAAGTTGTGAATGTGTAAACAAGAAGACTAAGCTAGCCTCGGTGAAGGTTTTTTGTTTGTTTGTTCTCGTCATAAGCAATGAAATGGCTTCCTAAGTTATTCATGTATTTAAAGGTCAACAGGGTTTTCTGCTTTAACAGGTCACTAATCATTTTTATAGTAGTATTTCAGACTTAAATGTAACCAAACAGAATTATTTGTTCATTTTTATTTAGTTGAACAGCATCTGCTAAAGCAAAATACATTGATTTACCACCAGCTGTTGGAGTGTATAAAAAACCTTTTTTAAAAATATCAAAAATTAATATAAAACATAAAGGACAGTATGAAGATAAATGTAAATACTTAATTTTAACTCTAATATTTTTGAAACTGCTTTTTAGATGGGGTGTCTACTTGAACTTAGTGAGTGGACAAAAAATAAATACAGACGTTGTGTTTTTGACTACAGTCTGAAGTGCTCAAAACTGTTGATTGATTATTGAAAACTTTTTAGGTATAATATTAGATGTTAAACATATTGAAATAACAGAATACAGAGCGAGAAGAAGTCCATTTTCAGGCTGCAATTAAACCTAAAACGAACTTCTTGAAATGGCTGCTTGAACAACAAACTGACAGTATTTGACGAGGTTACGATATAGAAATCGTTTTGAATTTACTCTACTAAACAGAGGAGATGTTATAACCATATAGTCAGTGTTTAAAATTCAGATGCCTATTTGTAGGCTACCCCAAAGCGCGCCCTTTTAATCCGAAAGTCGAATGGCGTGAACAAACCGGAAAGACCTGTCGCCATGGAAACACTGGCTCACAAACTTTGTTTTAATGACTGTACCGAAACATGACAGCAGACAGTGACTACAGTAAGTATGGTTTGGCGTATTTACGGGCGGAGCTAGAGCAAGAAAGGGAGATAAGGTATGTTTATTTAAAGTCAATTCATTATAAGGTTTTTAAAGAGTGAAAAGTTGTGATGCGCTGCAGCAACGTCCTGGTCTATTTAGGGAGATGCTGGAGGAGTCCGTGTCTGATTTACGGATCACAATGTGTGAACTGCAAGAAAGACTACACAGTGTTGACGGGGAAGGTACGTGCTGTTGTTGTTTTTTAACTTAAGGAATTGGTTATCTACGTATGTAGCCTGCTGTAGGGGGAGACTAGGGTAAGTTGAGTCACCCCCTGTTTTTAGGAAATGGCAAAAGAAATTGAAAATGTGACCAAATATTTAGGAGATGGGCATCAATTCATGGAGTCTGTGAAGGTTAGAAGCGCATGGGTGAAGGGGTTAGACATTAATTTCCAAAAAAACATTTTTCACTCTTGAAAGTAAATTTAGTCTGTCATAAGTTTTATTAGAATTGTGTTCAGACCAAAAAAGATCATTTTAAATTAGTTTTAGACATAAATTGTGGTATCTATGAGCTACAACATGAGGTCAAAAACCTAGTATAAAAGTCCACCATTTTAGATTAGAGGACTAATAAAGTCATAATAGTAGTTCTGGGGTTAGTAAAGCCAGTGACCCAACTGTGAAAGTAAAGGAGTCTAATGAGAGGATCAGAGTTTCAGTTCAGATTGTTGAAATGTGTTACTTTTTCTTTTCAAAAATACAGCTGTGAATGTTCTGAATCACTTAAAGACATTCTCATGCTAAAATGACTTTTTACAAAACAGCTTTTTAGCAGTTATATGCAATAATAAAAAATGTTATTGTACCAGTTGAATAGTGTATAACATAAAAATAAAGTGACTGTTATGGGGGGGTAGTAGTAGGGATACGGCTCAACTATGATTGCCTTGATGTAGTGATCCGAAATATGAATAATGGCTCATCTTACCCCAGTCTCCCCTACTGTACCAGGGAAGTTTATGGAAATGATGTTCTGATCCAGAACTATCAAATGTAGACTTTAAGGAGCTGGCTAAATTATTCAAAGGAGGTTGAAAACCTCACAAGGTATTGTAATTTTGGATCAGGATCTTGTTTCCATAACCTCCCCCTGACAGCTGATTCTGAAACTGCAAACAAGCAGTCTCACCTCAGCCTCATCAAAAGAGCATAAAGCTCAAACTGGCTGTTGTGACTTATCTTACATTCAGCTTCTTCACTTCTCCGCCTCTGTTGTTTGTCGAAAAGCCTACTCCTCATGTTTAGAGTTTCTTTTATTTTTGCAAATGAACTAGAAAATGAGTGGAAGACCAGGTATGAGACACAGACAGAGCTGAATGGAAAGCTGAAGAGGCAGATGTCAATCATACATGAGAGACTGGAGGACCTACGAGGAAACCCCATAGGTAAATTCTCAGTTTTTAGAGCCCATTAAATATAAACAAACTTCACGTTCTACATACCAAGATCTTATGAATGTACACTAAAGACTCTAAAAGGCTATTTCTTCTTTCATCTGATACAACGAGACAAAATCTATACTATTTTAAACTCCCTTTCCTCATCTCAAAAAATTATTTTCATACATATCACAAAATCTCTTCTTTTCAACAGATCGACTGGCCTCCATTCGACTATATGACGACATGCCGATAGTGAGTACGAACATTTAGATTTTTATGTTTTGTTTTGTTTTGTTTTTTATCACCTGCTTTGTTCAGTTTATGCCACTTGACAAGTTTTCAAGCAACAGTCTACAAATCTATGTTCCGTCGAGAGCAGAAGTATGAAAAGGCACACATCAGCAAAGAGAACCTGAGAGACAGTCTGTGGGAAGAAGGCAGGCAAGACAGAGGGGACTGTAATGCCAGCTGCCCTCTGTCTTCCAGTTGATGCAGGCTGAGCAAACCAGAGTTTAATCAGAGCGCTGTAATCACGGGATTACAAACCATGGGAAAGTAATGCACACTAATTACAATGCTTTAGCACAAACACGCACACACATGAATGCGCTCCACACACTGATTGTCACACCACACAGTCAGAATTTAAGTGTGTCTGTGTGCCTTAAGGCGGAACCAACAGATGCTCATTAGTGTATCTGCAAGATCGGGGACTGTAGATATGCGACAAAATTGTAAGCATGACTGCAGGACAGAACTGCAGAAGAACACCCATGATTTCAGATGATCGCAAAGAAACAAATGATCTCTGATAGTATTGGTGCTGGTTAAGGTATAGTCCACCTGAACCATCTCACTAAATAACTGATACTTTAAACTTTCTGACATAATTTTGAGTCTCAAAAAATAAACTGTGATTAATTAATCAACAAATTTATTAAGGTTTTGAGCCACAGTCAAATTTAGTAAAAGATTCGTTTCATATTTAACTTTTGGCATCAGATTGATTTTTAATTTTTAACTCATGTGACGCATGTATAATGCTGCGTCTTTAAACATATCATTTATTAATCTGTGGTTGCGTCTCTTGGCCACATAAAGAAGAAGAGAATTTGTTCTTAGCCGTCGTCATAAAGGTCTCATTGCCCTGCACTGAGCCAAAAATCTCATAGGGCTTCCCACGGCTCGGCTCTAATGTGCATATTCAGTTATTGAATTATGTATGAGCCTAATCCATTTTAGTGCTCATGTTTTCTGCATTAACCACTATGTTATTGTTTGATCCCTGTAGATAGAGCGGTGTAATTGCAATACAAATTGATTTGTAATTAGAGGATGGCAGTAGGACACCTTCATGCCCAGTGGCCTCTTTGTTATAAATGTTTCTAATTAATTGAAACACATTTTTTTTGGCAGGAGACACTGAGACAACATCTGAAAATCCTGACGGGAGAGAAATCTGATCTTCAGAGTCAGCTGAGGGACTGTCATCTCCAAATTGAACAGGAGGGAAAGGTGATGATCAAAAATGTTACAGTTCAGAGTCTAAATACAAGGATTTTGAGCTCAGTGTTGTTGACAGACACGGGTCCAAGATAAGTGATTTTAACTTTTCCCTGCTGATAACATTTTAAAAAACAAATTTCAATTGGCTGTAATGGATTTAAAAGGATTTGTCTGTTTATTTCGAGCAACCTTTGATGCAGAAATAAACTTTAAATAGGCCAATGTGCTCTTAGTTTATCCACATGATTCTTTGTTTATTGTTCGCCTCAACAAACAGCCAGATATTTGCTAAAAAAAGGTCTTAGCGCGCAGAATGTGGAGCCAGTAATCCTCGGTTTAATCTGTGGCTCATTAACACTGAAGACCTCCTGAAATATGCTCAGGCAGCAAACACATAACAAGCACTGCAACTGACACTTCTAACAGATCAAGTGTGGTCCATGAACGGAAAAATGTGACTATCTAGTCATCTTGCTCACATTTCCTTGCAGGCATTTCATAAAACCAATGATGAGAGGCGGGCATACCTTTCAGAAATTGCCAAGGTAAGCACACCCTTTCATCCAAGTCAACATAAGTGCTACTGTCAGGGCAGACAATCAGCTCAAACACCAAACCTTGCACAGTGTACAGCTCACTGAATATTAAGTATAAGCCACACTGAGGAGTAGCTGTCATGTTTAAGTGCAACAAAATCACGTTACAGTGAGGAGAGCAGACTCGTGTAGCTCCTCTCTTTCAGGCCTCGTTACAAATTCTCATTCATCCTCTAATACCGCTCTCTCTTATATAATAGCTGAGTCAAGGACATTCTGCTTTTTGCTGCAGCCAAACTGGATCCCGCTGGACTGATGGAAATGTATTTGGCAGCAAATTCAGCTTAGATTTGCCTTTTAGCATTAAAAAAGTTTGAGAGTCACGGGCCTGCTGTGTGCACAAAAGCATTTTCACATATTCATGCATACCACCAAACATAATGTCACGTTTTTTTTTTCCAATTGCTTATGAATTGCTCACTTCCTCAGCTGTCCTCCACACTTGATGGCCAGAGAAGACAGTACTCCAACCTGCCACAGAGGGCGACAGAGAGCAAACAGAAGCGGTGAGGGAGTCTTTTAGGTGATGTGATGAGCAATGAGCTGTACACGTGTCCTCGAAAATGACTAACAAGTTGGAAATGAAACAGAAAATCAAAAGATTCTCAAAACTTCAACACCTTTTTTACACCAGCATCTTTTTTCTTATTTCCACTCTTGGATTTATGAGTACAATACTAAAGTTGCACAGTAGTGGGTAAACAAAAGGTATTTTAGTTTATGGGCTTCCTCTACTTTTAAATTACATTCACCAGGAGACAAACTTTAAGTCAAATCTTGAAATTTCACTGCAAATCTGTTTGTTTTGGGGATTAGACTTCTGCGCTGATTTGTATCCAATAAAATAAATGTGCTGGACAGATTAACTCAGATTTATGATTTAGTAAATTGTCTGGTTGATCCTCTTATACATTCAACTGTGTTGTTTCAGCTCTTTGTGACTCCAAAATTGAAAACAATTGACATCCAGAGCTTTGGTCTACTTTACCAACTATATTTTATCATTGCACAGAGAGAAGCAGGCCAGCAGGAAGGCGGAGGTTGATTCTAAGAAAGGAAAAGAGAGAGAAGAAGATGGAGGAGGCGTGCGTGTGAAAGGAGGTGTTGTTAGTGGAGCAACAATGGTGAGGAGAGAGGAGAAGAAATCCCAAAAAGGAAGCAGGTTGCCGACAGTAAAGCGCTACCTGAAATACAACACTTAGCTAAAATCTGACATTATAGTATAAAAATAAAGTCTTAAAATAACTGAATTTTCTGTCCACTTGATGTAAAAATGTTTAAAAAATTGCCGTACTGTGATTTTTTAAAGGTTTTCGCAAAAATAGTGGGCAATCTATCCAACTGGCATGGTTGTAAGTCAGTGTTTATTTGCCAAACGCAACCACACATGGTGTCACACTGTCTTTTTACCATCTTAAAAGTACTATATTTATAATAATACCTGGCATTTTTCATTGTTGGAAGAGATTGACTGGCTACAAGAGGAATATTACAGGCTTTGAGTGAGCTAGGTCACCTTGTAACACACCAGAACCCAGCTGAGTTTGACATTTCAAGTGTCACTGCAATTTTCTTTTTCCAAAGCACCTCCTACGGCTTGTTTGACGCAAGCAGCGCTACATCCACCACTCTCTCCGTATGAGATTCACCTACGCAGCAACCAGTCACCCCACCATCCCACCCACTGACCGCCTTTACAAATGTAGGTGTGCGAAAAAGTGAAGCCGTAGGAGATGAAGTAGTAAATAGGAAAGTTGCCAGGAGCTATTGTGTTTGTGCAGGAGTGTGGAGGATGGGCGCTGTTCTTGCCAGGCATAAAACAGTGAATTGGAGCAATTTCTCAGCACTGGAATAGTGATGCAGGCAAATCCAGCAGGCCCTCTAAGTTCTTTCTTTTCCCCTAAGCTTTATCTTCCTATTTCACTGACTGGTCTGCAAGGAGAGAGTGATGTCATATTAATGAGCTCAGGGAGTGTGACCTAAAATTGGGTTTTGAGACAAAGAGGTCACAGGCAAAGAATTACAAATGGATCACGAGTATGCATTACCTACTCTACAACTCTGTGTCCGTGACTATAAGGGCAGTGTGTTGTACTGACCGGGGAACTGGCCTTTAACAGTAAGGGCAAAGATCAGGCCCTGGAGTCAGGGAACCTCAAATCAACTGAACTGTCTCTAAGCATGACACTGACGGTTCAACCTCTTACACTTACTGCAGCTGTACAGACTGTACAGCTCAAATCATGCATGATTGATATACATTTTAGCGGCATCCGGGGTCAGAATGTGTGCTAATATCCCACCCTAATCTCAGAACTTTCCTAGAAAAGTGGCTTAACCTTCCTCCTGTGTTAGCTTTTACTACGCACCCACCATGTTAAGGGTCTTAAATCAGCTGCGAATTACAGCAAAAACATTTCTCTATCATCAAGTTTGGTTCTCATCTCTAGCTTACCTAATTAGGCTTCATTATCCATGAAATGATATTTATAATAGTTTTTGTCGTGGTCCTCTGGGCCTTTCTTTGTCAGTATACCCCTCATACAGACATCTATACTGGACTTATCTCACATGTCTGGACATGCCTGACGTTGTTTTTGTGCAGGGAAAAACAGGCAAAGTAAGAATTTTTTAAATCTCACATAATTGGAAGAGGATCTAATTGTCAGTGTGGTGCCTGAGAGTGCACTTATGATTTTAGTTTTTGCTCTGATTATTAGGTATTGATCGAACCGGGTTAACAGCGACCCTTAAACTACAAGTGCCATAATTTTAAGAGGAGCATTTTATGATTTTGTCATTTTTTAAATTTTTATTTTGTTGAAATATTTTGTTGTTGTTCCTCACAAAGTCAAAAAACTCGATGCAAAAAAAAACTAATTTAAGTGGTTCTTTTACAAATTTAAAATCAAAATCACAGGAGGAAGGTTAAAGAGACATTTATTGCCGTTCTCCACCATTGACTCAACCATCTAGAGCTACTGGCATAGCACTGTATGAATTCTGTTTTAGAGTGTACTCTCCCTTTACAGCTGCACTCATATATCCACCGTGCTTTCCTGACAGTGTACACCCCTAACTGTTCTGCAGCGACAGGTTATTCGTTTAAGATTAATGACTTAATTCAAAGCGAGCCAGTCCATGTTGCCTTTCGAAAGAGCGAGCACATTTGCAGCGTACCATACTTCGCCACGTTTTCATACTTTTTTTTCCCTTTCGTTACTCTCTTTCTCACTCTGTTTCTCATAAGCTCAATTTAGTCCAACTCACAGCATCCTGCCCACACAGCCGCAGAGCAACCAACCAGATGTTTTGTGCTGACAGGTGCAACACGGTGACAAATCACTACAGCAGCTGTCAAAACACCATGAATCACACCGCTGCTGCCTGCCCGTGCTAACTCAGGTAGCTGTTTTATGTGTACTAGAGATGAATATGGTTCAGCCAGCCAACCAACCAACTGTAGATCCATGTGCTCTTCTGTATTTAACAGACTGTGTTTGTTATTGCTTCAGACTTGGCCTAAAAAAACAGTAGGATGTGTCTCAGTTACAGACTAGCATAGTGATCCCTGGTCTGGTAACAAACTGTATTTTGTTCTGTAATAGTATCCTAATGAAAAGACAATATTTTTGTTTGTTTCTTCAATAAGTTTGGTCTTAAAAATTATTTTCTGGGCAGTGAAATAAAGAGGCGTGTAATTTTAGAATATTGCACACGTATGAAGTGTACTTTTATTGAACATCTATTTTTCTCCTGAATTGTTAGAGCCCTAGAGCTGATATATTGCCCATAGATGAAGAAGTCTAGGCATAAAAACATTGAAGTGTCTCCTTGTTTATGGGCAAATAATAAAACTGTCAGTACTGCAAATGAAATGCACACTGTGTAGTTTAATTTACACGTCACATAAAATGTAACAGCATATAAACTGATAACTCAATTTACAAATGCCTAAATTCTCCATTGCTTTATAAACAAGTGCAAATTGTATCTCAGGAAATTGCTTAGTCATGCTTCTGATGGATGACCTCTTTGAAGAATTGCAGCCATTTAGTTTTTTATACAGATGCAATATTCTCGGTTTAGACTGATCCAGATTGAGGACACACTTATGTATTTTGCCATCTGCAAATTGCAGCTCCAAACAAACTGCCCCATCCTGAATGTTTGGTTACTGTCAATGTTGAAGTTTAGCTACATAGTACTGCACTCAAAGTTGTTTCTGCTGTAACTTCTATGATGGAACTTTATTTTTTTCTTCAACAAACTAAAACCTTTTTTAACAGTTTGAACACATTCATACTCTAACAAATCTTGACTTGACTTTCGGGCATTCAGAGAGACAATCACACCATGATTTTGTTAGAAATGCGCCGATCCATTTTTTTTCCGATCGAATCCGATACCGATACTTTGGCTGAGCGTATCGGCCGATATCTGATACTGATCCAATACTACTGTTAAATGAATGAACTGTATATCTTGCCCTGTGAGTGAAGGCATCAGGCTTGACATTAGCCTTGTTAAAAAAAAAGGTAAAAAATTAACAGATATAAATTTACTTAATATTATTTATAAACAAATAACTAATTGCACATTAGTACACAGTAAAAAGAAGACTTCCATGTAAACATTTAGTGCAAAAGGATAGACAGACATAGAATATAAAGCGAACACAATCGCTGTGTCTGATATTACGCTGGACTGGTGTCATTCATCAGATATCTGATCCAGTTAATTTGTCAATATCCGAGCCGATATCCGATCCAAATACCAGATTGTTGCATTCCTAGGTTTTGTTAATATGTCCTTTTTCTCCACTGTCTGTCTTTCACTAGTTATGAACACATTCAGCCCCACTTGTGTTCTGTTTCTTCAGGGCTAATTCGGACAGGGACATCGTTTCAGCCTTGAGCTTGTGACTCACACTTGCTGTCTGTGTGCCTCTTCTCCCTAAAATAAAAACACCAGGGTGGTGAGAGGTTTTAATGACTTGTCTCTGCCACTGGCACATATTAAAAAGGAATTCATAACACAAAAAGTAGGAGATAAAAATATGACCCCATCTTTTTGAATAGTTGGTATTATGTTTGACCTTTTAAAAGAGGCGCTGAAATAATGTGATGTACATTTTAATATGTGCAGAGACCGTGAACGTTATAACAAAGCAAATTAAAGTGTGGTGTTTTAAATGGATGTGACTTTCATCATCCCTGGAACAGTACATTGTTTGGCAACACACACAGGCTGCCCATGGTTCAGATGGGAGGGTTGATGGGGCATAATTAAATGGTCCCTGGAGGCCAGGATGTAGGTCAATGGTCTTTATCTCTTCCATTGCTTGGAGAGACTATTTCCAGTCCTCATCTACAAACAAACTTGATGAAAGCAGCTTCTTCTCAACCCAGTGTTACTTTTTTTAACCCTCAACACAGTAATTTTTCAGACCTGCAATCCCTTTTGAATCTTTCTACAAGAAATTAGTGTAAAATTATACTTGTCATAGGGGAGAGTGGGGTAAGTTGAGCCAAAGTGACCAAATATTTAGGAGATGGGCATCAATTCATGGAGTCGGTGAAGGTTAGAAGCACATGGGTGAAGGGGTTAGACATTTATTTCCAAAAAAAAACATTTTTCACTCTTGAAAGTGAATTTAGTCTGTCATAAGTTTTATTAGAATTGTGTTCAGACCAAAAAAGATCATTTTAAATTTGTTTTATACATCAGTTGTGGTATCTACGAGCTACAACATGAGGTCAAAAATCTTGTATAAAAGTCCACAATTTTAGATTAGAGGACTAATAAAGTCATAATTGTAGTTCTGGGGTAAGTTGAGCCATTTGTCCAAGGGTTAGTAGAGCCAGTGACTCAACTGAGAAAGTAAAGGAGTCTGATGAGAGGATCAGAGTTTCAGTTCAGATTGTTGAAATGTGTTAATTTTCCTTTTCAAAAATACCGCTTTGAATGTTCTGAATCACTTAAAGACATTCTCATGTTAAAATGGCTTTTTACAAAACAGCTTTTTAGCAGTTATATGGAATAATAACAAAAAATAATAACTCTACCAGTTGAACAGCATATAATAAATAAAAATACACATGAATATGAAGAAGTTATTTAGGGAGAGAGAAGGTGAGGGAGGACTGGGGTGGAGATTGGGGGGTAGTAGGGATACGGCTCAATTTACCCCGCTCCTATGGTCAATTTACCCCATACACGGGTAAGTTGACCATAGGAGACCACTTTTTTTGCATGCTATATTATCAAGACAGTTATGTTTACACTCATTCTGTTGGTTTGCAGGGATGCATGGTATTTTGAAATATATGCAGATACACTAGTTAGAGACAAAACAATGATTGCCTTCATGTAGTGATCCAAAATATGAAAAATGTCTCATCTCACCCCCCTCTCCCCTACTGCATTTGGATTATTGCTCTTGAATCTGAGTTTAGGTTTTGACTACCCCGAGAACCCCCTCCCATCCCCTCTGTAAACTGTAAAGCATGTTACATAAGCCCTCACGTGAACATATTCTCAGGGGGGTTGGCATTAAGCTGGTATATGCTTTACCTGATTTGGTTGCACGCTCCAAAATAAAACCTCATATTACCATTTTTCATTTTCATAAGTCTTAAATTTAAAATGTTGAATAAATCAAATGAGCTCGCAAATCCATGAATTATTTTGGCATTTAAAAGATATGGCTTTACTGGAAAAGCTTCAATTTTCATTTTAAGACAACAGATCGATTCCCCCCAGACAATCCTTGTTTTCGGGTCTGGGGAGGGGGGGGGTGCAGGACCAGCAGCATCCCCACTGCACGGGTGGGAAACGTGTGTCTGCATCCTAATGAGGGGTGGGGGCGCTGAATGAACATCACGACAGAGTGACGTGGAGGAGGAGGAGGAGGAGGTGGGTGAAAAGAGAATGGGAGGGGAAGCAGCTGCTCCCTACTTCACTTCCAATCCAGGCTCTGCTTCTTGCTCACACACACCAACACGCGCACGAACACACACTCACACACACATTAGACTGCTGGTCGTGGAGCACCGGACAACAAAGGGTACACACAGGGGGGCTCACTGCAGCCAGGACAGGATTACAGCATCCACTGCCAGCGACAAGCTTACCAAACTCTTTTTCTTTTCTTGCTCGGGAATAAAGCGTCAGTCAGACTGGAGGTGACCGTCAAAGAAGCGTTAATCGCTCGCGTGGGTAAGCCTGTCAATTATAATCTCGTTTTAAAGACGTGAATTCTGCTTTTTTATTTGTCCTTTGCACAATTGTCTTAGAAAATTCTTACCATGAGAGTAAAAACTAAAAATTCTCATTGACACTTTCATGGTTTTCAAAGAGGTGTTATGATTGTTTAATGGTCGCAGTTTCGTTGTGAAAGTGCTAATGACTGTTGTTCTCCCAGCTGCGCGAGCCGGTTCTGAATATTGATAATAAAAGGCATTTATAGACAGGTATTGATTCGTGACTGTCACTGTCTCCCTTTTCAATAACTCTGCGCACTCTGACAGACAGTCGTCATGAAGCATGCTGTCCACCGCCCGGCTTAACAGCACTTAATCTGTCATTAGGGAGTTATTTTCAGACAAGGCTACCAGGCGACGGGTACCGGCTGGCTACTTTAGCAAGCCGTCCAAGCCTCCCTTCAACCGGTTTCGTCCTTCCTCTGCGACGCTCTGTTTTTGTTTACTTAGTCGTCAGTGAAAAACTTTCCCCCCTCGTGCTTCTGTTTGTCTCCCCCCAGACAGTACAGCCGTACTTGTGAGCCTCGGCAGCGAGATGGAGATGGAGCATTTCGACGTCGACCGGGACAAGGCTCAAAGACATGGCCGGTCCAGTGCGAAGATGAACGGGGTGCCGAGTCCTACACACAGCGCCCACTGCAGCCTGTATCGGACCCGGACCCTGAAGACTCTGTCAGCGGAGAAAAGAGCCAAGAAGGTCCGTTTCTACCGCAACGGAGACCGGTACTTCAATGGTATAGTTTATGCCATCTCTTCAGACAGGTTCCGGACCTTTGACGCCCTGCTGGAGGACCTGACCCGCTCCCTCTCTGACAATGTGAACCTCCCCCAAGGCGTCCGGACTATCTATACCCTGGATGGCTCTAAGAAGATCATGGCTATAGACCAGCTGGTAGAGGGTGAGTATACAGCATTACAGCACTCATGCATAGTTTATAAAGAGTCAAACTCTTCTTTGCACCAGAGCCTTTACCTGAAACCCCATTCTAGCCTGGCCAGTGCCTCTTTCTGTATATATTTATCTTTGTTCTTTTGCCATGAACCCACCAGAAGACTCAAATTAAACCTGTCTGCTATAGACTGGTCTGACATAGTTTTCAACTTGATAGTTTTGGCACAGACTCCCCCAAATTACGAGGATTTTGGCACTCACTTGATGGCCATGTGGTCATAGAAGCGTATGTTTGGGCTCAGATCCGCTCTCTCTTGATCTGTATTACTCTCTTACAATACATAAAATGTGGTAGAAGTTGCTAACAATATCACTGGATGACACCGGTATCAAAATACGTGAAAACCAGAAGTATAGTAGGAATTACATTTCAATATGTTTTCTCATTGGTTTTGTTGCCTATAGCTACATAACTGGGATAACTACACTTGTGTTTTAATTATATCTCTACGTTCTTTACAATTTTTGTTCAAGATTGATTTTTTTCTGAAGGTCATGTGATTTAATTCAATATTTTTTGCAATAAATCTCTCCTCGCTTATTCCAACAGGTGACAGCTACGTGTGCAGCTCTATCGAAGCCTACAAAAAGTTGGATTATGCGAAAAATGTCAACCCCAACTGGTCAGTGAACGTCAAGGCCTCTGTGGCGTCCGCTCGGGGGCCTCCCTCCCTCAGCAGTACCATGGCCGGTGCTCCTGAGAGCCGTGAAATCAAGGACTTCATCCGTCCAAAGCTTGTGACCGTGGTGCGGAGCGGCGTGAAGCCCCGTAAAGCTGTGAGGATCCTGCTGAACAAGAAAACAGCCCATTCCTACGAGCAAGTCCTGACTGACATCACCGATGCCATCAAGCTCGACTCGGGGGTGGTGAAGAAGATCTACACACTGGAGGGCAAACTGGTGAGAAATCTTTGGTTTATGGTTGTAGAAGAGACATGCAGCTGGTTTTATTTGTACTCTCAGTGCTTCTTTGGAGTGTTGGACGTATCTTTGACTTTGGCATGGCTGATAATGCAGATGGGCAGTCTGCATCCAAGGAAGTAGCATTTCTCGTTGTTTTACTGGACCTCTCTCGTCTCAAGTCATACATTATGCTGATGCTAAGTGGAAAGTGTCCTCTCATAAGCAGTCTCTAGACAAAAAAGGCCAGATGCTGAGATAGAAGTGTGATAAAATGTGTCTTTGGTGTGCGGTACTATGTTTCAGGCACCTGTTTTCAAGCTAAATGGATGTATCAACAGACAGACAGAAGCACCACAGCGGCTAAATATTTTATGACCACACTCTCATTTCTCTTTCATGAGCCTTTTATGAATGAAGTGTCGCCGCTCACAGCCAGAAGTGAAGCAAGAAACAGTGACACACAGGCAAAAAGAGGTCAGGAGAAGGTAAAGATGGAAGAGATCTGTGAATGGAGCCCACGCTGCACCAGAGCGCGGCCTCTCATCACAGAAATGAATCAGGGCCCCTTGATAGTCCTCCCACCCATTCAGCTCCCTCTCTCAGCTGTGGAGGGAGACACTATAAAAAGACCACGATTGTACATCTTGTATGCGTTTACCTGCGCACTTAACCTCCACAAAGTGAACGTAGGAGAGTTAATGGCTTGTGCCGTAGATGAATATGATTAAAAACACTTTCACTGTGCTCCCTCATGTTTATTTAGTGTGTATTTTTCAAGGTAAATAGATAAAGACGACGTCACATTTTGGATCTCTGGGATCCAGGTTTTGCGACAGACTTCAGCTCTCTGCCGTCCTTGTGTTTGTCCTTATTTCACCTCTTGATCTTAAACATGACCCCATCTCATTATCATTACCTCGTGTCTGTCTGCTCCCCTCTTTCGGCCTCTCTGTCCAGATCCGGATTATCAAATGTAGCAACATAGAGCCACTTCTTTCTTGGCAAAGGCCTCAGAATTAAACTGTTGTGCTGAAAGAGATCGTGTCTGATTTAAAGGGCGTTGTGCCATTCTGTGTCATACAGCAGTAATCATCCTCTAAATGCCCAATTTGTGGCTCATTTTTTAATGAATATGCACTTAGCCTTAGGGGCCTCTTCACTCTCAATTGCCACTTGAGTTTTTTGTGTTACCGTTTATCCCACTTCTAAATCTCTGTCTTCATGTTTTGGCATTAGCGTGTTGTTTTCCTCCGAAGCCTTATAGTTTATGTAATAATCAACTGGTTAACTCTCAGGAAGTCTCTCCAGATTTCCTCTCCTAACTGACTGTTAGATCCAAGCAGCCGATAAAATCTCAGGATCAGCTTTTTTTTTTTTTTTTTCCTGAGAAACCTCCTGTTGGGGATTAAACTTACGCTTTTGCACAATGCCTACTAACACTGTGGTTGCCATTGGTTACTGTTATCCGAGAGATTATACAACAACTGCTGCTCTCGCCCAGTTCAACCCTTCTGAGATTGGAAATAAAACTAGTATGGTTATGCTATTTTTAGGTGCAGTATTGATTGGGCCTGTAGGCATGGTAACACACTCACTGCCAAATGGGCTGGGCTTGGCTGAATGCAGAAACAACTCCTTATTTTTGTGTGAGTGTATATATAGATATGCGGCATGATTTTGAGTTGGTAATTATCTTGTTAAGAGACAGGCACAGAGAAGAAATGTGAATTCTAAGCTAGAGTAGCAATCAAGACTGGGGGAAATGGTTTTCTAAAGGATTTTTGCTCAAGTTTGGCAACGTCTGTGTGTGTTTTTCTCTAGATGAGGGAAATCCTTGAGTGCCTCTGTACACAACCTTTTTCCAGAACAGACGAGAGCTCTCAAGAAACCTCTATAGGCTTGTAGCAAATATGGATAAACCATGGCAAAATGGAATGAAACAAAAATATAAAGTCAGATTTTTGTAACAGCGAAGTATCCCTCAATTAAATTTTGACTGGATAAAAAAACCACAAAGTAAGTGAAGGTAGAGAGTTAAGACGATCAAACTGTATGCTGATGACACTTGGATATACATTATTGATTTCAGCTGAGTGCTGAACTTATTTACTTGAGTGTGCTCTGGGATAAGGTTACATTGGTAACGAGAGAGAAGGGGGGTGTAAGTGTCTGTGAGTACTTGCATGTACTTGCTTGTGTAAGTACATAATTTGCTGTGTGTGGGCTGCTGTCATCAGCTGAGCCATGTCAGTCATCGAGCCCACAGCAGAAGTAGGTTTCTGGGCCTTGCTGTCAGTAACTGAGTCCCGGCAGAGCTCCAGAGCCTGGAGAGGGAAACTCAGGCGCTTTGCCTCCATTAACCCCTGTAATGAGGCCATAGACAGTAAGAGAGGATGTACATCATAGAAGGCCTGTTATTTCTTTTTTTGTCTCACATAACCACTAAAAATTTGTTTCATGCTGTGTGGAAAAATTCTGAAGTCAAAAGTTCGGTTCTGTCAATTTTGTAGTTAAAGTTAGCTAAGATTATGATAGAGTTTATTTGCAGCCGCAGTCACCTCTTAGACCATTCATCAAAGTTTTCATCTTTGAGTATTTTTTAATTTTCATACATCAGTATTATGAGAGTGTTGAGATATGATCATGGCAGATTGCTTAGTCACAATAAATCTGGTTCTGTGTGAGGTTTCTGCCTGCTGGGAAGATTTTTTTTCTGTCAGCTGTTTATTTGAGCTTATTGGTAAATTGATCTTTGATCTCTCAAATAATAATACAAAGAGCACGATCTAGATCTGTATCATGAGGCATATATTGTTTGGTTTAGTGTATTGATCTGTTGATGAATTAGGAGAGGCATGTTGCAGGTTGTGAACAAGTCTCTGTGAGTATCTGGTATTTCCCAAATATATTGTGTCCACTCAGCCCACTTGGAGCTTACTCCACTCAGCTATCAAATTTCTGTAGGTAATTGAGCAACTGTGTGAGAAAGCATATATCGAGTTCCACCACCAATATTGATTCCCTCGCTGCAAAAGACCTCATTGTGTTACCCAGGTGGTATTTTTAGCTCCATCCCCTCTCCTCTGGGGTTACCACATCCTTGTATATTTCTTATCATACTCTCCTTCACCTTTGCCTGTTTCTATGATGATTTGATCTAGTTGCCTAGAAACCATGCAGCAGACCTGCTGTGATGTCGTACAGTAGCTCGGTGAGATGGTGTGGTTGGATTGGTCTGATCAAGAAGACTTGTAAGTGGCTTAGGACACGGACATGGCTGGCCTATTAATACAGCTAATCTCTGTTTACACACAGAGAGTCATGCACACACACAGAAACACACACGCGCACACACACACACACGCATAAATACAAAGAAGTCAGACCACAGCTGCCAGCATTTCAGGGCTCACGCATATTTAGGCACAGATAATGACACAGACTCGCTTTGATGGACCCATCAAGATTTCTGCCCATGCATCACTAGGCATTAACTGCAGGAAATTATCAGCCAGTGTGCGTGAAGTGGCGACACTCATTCATCTCTGTGGCTGTTTGTGTTCTGCTTTTTAGTATTCCATAAATGAGCTCTTTTGTATGGATCTCAGTGGGTTTGGTGTGAACAAGAAGAAGTCCCACATGGACAGTTAATGCTTGAAAATTACAGGGCTTTCACAGGAAATATATATTTTTGTCAAGATAGGATGGTAATGTCACTCTGTTAGATAGTTGATGTGCCACCAAATGATTATAATAGCCTACTAAATTTGCAGATTAATGATCCCCAGAGATTTGAATATAACTGAATTGTATGACTTGACTTTCCTACAAGTGCCACCAGGAAGGTGATATCTAATTTTTTTGGGAAGTTTTAGCCATTTATCAGATTAATTCACATGCTTACTTGACTCTGCACCTTCCCTGTTTGTCTTGGATGTGTTATTTTAATTGTAGCTTTGTAATCGCTGTATTGCAATTTTTTATGTCTGAAACCGCTGCAAGGGGCAGGTGTCAGACCAGATGAGTGACAGCACACCGATGAGACAGCTCCTCTCTTCAACTCCAAACACTGATAACAAGTGACACTTTTGATCGCTTCAAAAAGTTATATGTAGAAAGGACAATATCGGCAAAGTAACTATATGTACATTTTGACCTGAAAAGGGGTGTCTAAATTGACACAAGCTAAAAGTTTTTGTAGCAGCCTTAAGGCAACACAGTCCTGACTACTAAGACCTCACAATACGTCAAGTCAATAATATATTATATTCAAACAGCACTTCTAAATGAAATAAGATGACCTGTAACTCTGTCTGTCAACAACTCCTTGGTGTGTTGGTACAACAAACTGTTTTATGTTATTGTTGGGGTGAAGAAGGGAGTGCACTCTGTTTACAATAAGTCCTGCCAAAGACAACACTCCCTGTCAAAGCACACAAACTGTACGCACACACAGGTATGCCCTCGCCAGTTCAGCCAGCCAAGTATATTGTTTCCTACAAGTGCTCCTTTTGTTATTAAACAGTGGTTCACAAACGAATTCCAAATGCACTACAGCTACTATCTGGCAGCACTGCATTACCAGAATAAAGAGATAACGATTGCATGATCTCTTAGATTATTTTATATGAACCAAAACATTACCCATGAATGAAACTTAGTCTTACATTACACCAAGATTATATTTGATTTTTAATCTTTGTATTTTTTTTTAACTTATTCACAAACTTGGGCCTCCAACTAGTCTTTTTTCTTGGAAAGCTCCTTGAAAAATGTCATTCTGATTGTAAATGCCCATTAGGTATGATGCTGTATAATGTGTGATCAGTTCCCATAGAAACAGTCATGAAGCAGCCTTGAAGCAGCAACAAAAATTACCAGCAAACTACTTCAGAATTCATGCTTCTCTTTCAAGCATGGATTTTTCTATATATGTTTCGATCCACCCTCTATACATTTCACAATCCCACAATTTTTCACACCCAGCCACATGGCAGAAATAGAGGTTATATGTAGGAGAAGAGTGTTGACAAACCACTTGTTCACTATCTGCAGTGCAGCTCTCACTTCTCAAACCGCATTGCTGTCCTGTTATTCTCCTCGTTGGCAAGGCTGGAGAGCTTTTCATGTCCTTTTATCTTCCTCTTCTCCTTTCTTACCATTTGAAGCCTCCTTCTTCTCCCTCCCTCCTATTTTCTTTATTTTCACGTTTCCACCACCCATCACCGTTTCTATTTCTCTCCCCATCTGCAGTTACATAATCTTTAGTTCTCTTTCAAAAGATTGACTCTCTTCATAACCATCAGTTGTCAGAGCTCCCTGTGATCTTCTTTCCCTTGTTTCTCTTTTCTTTCTCAGCCTCATCTGTATCTTGTCGTCAACATGCTATCATTTTCACGCCTGTTTAGTCCTTGTTTAATTAGCAGACTCTGCACGCTCCCCAAAATCCAGGAGCTGCAACATATGGCATCGTTCTCTCTCCTCCATGCTCTGTCTTACCTTTCTATCCCTCCCCTTTTCACCAAACTATCCCAACTTCATTCCTTTTCTTCAGTTCTTCTACAAATTGTGTTTTACTTTTATGCTCCTTTCCTGTCTCTGGTCTGCTTCCAGCTCTGCAGGGATTGTAGAAATGGTGCTACAACGTCACTTGAAAATGTTGTTTATGATGAAGAGATATTTCTCTGCTTTTTGTACTAATCTTTTAGCAGTTTGATAAACTTTACTTGATGTTTTCTTTTAATAAGACACTTAATTCTGCACAGGAGGATTGTGGGAAGGACAGTCTGTCTGCTCCTGCTGATCTGCTGAGTCACAGCTACTCAGCACAGCCCAGTGTGTGTGTGTGTGTGTAGGGAAGAGTGAATGTGTGCCATGCACCTAGTTTGCTGTAAATTGGCTCCTGTACAGTTTTTTTTTAACAAATGACTTAGATACTCTGTTTTTAGATGGGTCATGGAGCAATCCTCAGCAGATACTGGTGACGTTTTTTTATCTGGTTATGAAGGCAGAGCTGCGTCGATAGGTTATCTGTCTGTCTTTGTTCAGAGGACCTGCTGCCAGATTTGGATCGATGGTAGACATTTCCAGCACTGGCACGCCGTTGAGAACCCAGTCACAAAATAAGGCTACCTCGTCATACACACGACCGTCTGAGTCATGCAATACCTGACTCACGCACTCCCTCTCTGATCTGCCTCGACTCTCTATCCAACGTGGTGCTTTTCGAAGCTGGCAGGATTTAGATTTTAAAAGTTTTGGGCGATCACGGCTGAATCATAAAACAAGGTTGTAAGCACAAGAGGTGAAAGTGTTATATTTCACTAACCAAGATGTTGCACCATCTTCAAATTAAAGTTGTTTTTAGACATGAGTAGCTCCTCTCTGTCACTGCCCGTCTGTGAATACCAAACACTCTGGGTTAACTGAGTTCAGCCCGCAGTTTTTAAGTGAACTTGAGTCAACATTACTTCCGAAGATGTCCCGAAGCGACTTCTTTCCCAGTAATTTAAGGAGACATTCAAACGCCATGTGATCCACGAGTGATAAGTGTCAAGGTAGTGAAACACAAACAGGTTTAAACTCCAAATTTGGTTTTGTTTCTTTCACCCAAAAGACAAGATCACAGGCTCAGTGGTAAACCTGTCAAATAACTGAACATGGCTAATGTTAGAGGAACAAGCACCACCAGCCTCAAGTCCACCTTTCAGTTTAATGATCACGTACCTCTGCTACTTACACATTGTGCTCTGGGGTGCAATGGGGTGCCATCTTTCACCTGTGCTTGTTTACATCTGGGTAGTAGAGCGTTCTAGGATTTTAGGGTAAACTCATACCGGGAGCTAAACTCTTATCCAGTGGCAGATGGCTGCCTCTAAAGCCAGATGCAATGTGACTGGCACTTTGGGCATATAGTAATAAAGACAGTGATAACTATTTTAACCAGCTAGTTATCCTGGTGCTGACTGGAGAAGGTGTCAACATTCAGTTTGTTGTGATTATGCTGACCTGAATTTTAGTCACTGTCTGGGTGCGGGAGTGAGGTGTTTTTGACGTGCAATCCAATGTCCAATCCAAGGTTATAGTTGAATTATATTTTTGCCCAAAAAAATAAAAAAATAAATAAAAAAAGACAGATACGTCCAACTTACGACGATGGCAGTAATGAGGGTGAGCGTGGTGTTGAAGATTAGCGGTAAAGTCCGTGTGCTCTTCCCGTTCCCCAGATCACTGCTTCACCTGTGTCCCTTTTGTAGCATTTACCAGCCCATTCACCTGAAGTGGTGATTGTCAAGTAACAAAACTAAACCCAAAAAATAATACAGATAAAATGGCTCATACACAGTTGTCTTTTGGACTGTATATGTGTTCCTAGTTTCTTCCATCCAGTTTTTAAATCGCTCCGCATGACTGTTTTATTTTCACTTGTTCCTTTTCCTTGAGTTTAGTTTAAAGGGTTGAAGTTGAGAAGAGAACTTGCTTACAAACTCACATTACCCTCTGCAGCCTTACATAACATTAGATCCATCGTCTTCTGTCAATGTCTGGCAGTAACCTGTGCACCAACACGCTCACATCTTTAATTCAGACTCCCACTCACACTATTTTTGATAAGGGATTAAAGGCCACGGGCTAGAAAGAGAAGAAGATCAACAATTGGGCTTGGGAGGTAGAAAAAGAAAAAGTATGAGGTAACTCGACAAGACAGGCGTAAGTGTGACAAGGAAGATGAGATAAAATTGGCAACACAAAAATGTCATAAAAGATGGAGTCAAAGTCGAGACTGATGCCACGTTCAGCCTTCTCTAAACAAACAACAACAGTGCCAGATTTCTTATTTTTTATTCATGTCATGATTGCTAAAGTTCGGCTCCCTGTAGACACGTGAAAGACAGCATAAAAACATCCACATTCAGAAAAAAAAAGTAGTTCCAAAACAAAGTTTGCCATCCCCCTATGGAGAGCAGAGGCTGTTACATAAGTTGTTATGCAATAACACAGCAGCCATCCAGCAGCCCAGCAGACTGCTGTGTGAGTTTGAGGTTAAAGAAGAACCGGTGCCAACTCAGGCCACTGCACATTTAATTAGCCTCACATCACCACGGCGTTTGTGTCTTATCTCCATCATTCCTGTGACTTTCCAGTCAGTCCCATCCTCGGTCAGTTTCTGTGATTAAACGGGGACATGCGCGGTCTGCTGATTGAGACAGTGGGAGGTCATGCAGGGTGTGAATTCTCCCTGGGGGCTCAGATGTTTTTTCCTTTGCCCTTAACTCCTGCAGATCGATTTCTGTCTACCTCTCCCTCCCTTTTTATCAGACAGTGTCGCTCTTTTCTCTGGCTGTCTGTGTCTCCCCTCAGCTTTTCAGAAGATTATTTGAAGGCAAGAGAATTTTTTTGCTGTGTCATTTTGAAACTGAGACTGTATTTCTATTGGCTGCAAGGGGTTTGTACTTTCAGGGATTTTAACCCACACAGAGCTTTTGTACTGTCTTTTGTTGTTTTGATTAAACTAAATGATTTGTTATAAAAACAGTGACTTGTACTTGCAGTTCAAAAAGAGCTTACAGTTAAATTCAGCTTGGTATAGACTGCTCTGTTCTCTGGAAGGGAAAGTTAAGCCTAGTTTTTAGTATATTCATCATGATCACATCTTTGGGTCACATAAATATCTGTCTCTGTCATCTTTTTCTCCTCCTCCCTTTAAATCCCTGTTTCCTCAGACTCTCTGCATGTTTGACTCCAGCGCTTTGCTCTTTCTGTTTCTGTCTCATTCTGTCTCAAAACAACACTCCCTTCTGTTTCTCACTCAGTCCGCCTGTCTTTTAGGATCCAGCCGTCTGTCTATCTACCCGTCAGTCTGTCTGCTTCTTCAGTCCTGCAGTGGTAAATGTTTCAGAGCAGCCCCTCATGTCCATCCTCCCAGCTGCAGTATATTCAGCACCGCGGACAGCTCCCCCCTCTGCTAAGCTGCTCAGACTCGGAGCGCAGCAGAGCTCGGCCCTCAAAAAAGTGCTCCCTCTTTAGGCAGGATAATGTTGACCTCAGCTTGTCCTTAGTGTGACCAATGCAAGTCTATTGTGGCACAGGAGATTAGTGGCTGAGTCCTCAATCTCTTCTTCGGTTTTGTTTTTTTCTCTGACCGTCTGTCCTAGTATCTTTGAAATCCCTCTGCTTCTTATTAGAGGACATAACACTTCAAACTACTTTTGCATTGAAATGTTACAGAGTTTTTAAAGTGTATCTCAACTATTATACTGCTTTTATTTTTATTCATTTATAAACTTTCAGATTAATCCAACAGTACTCTCCAACCTAAAGAGCTCAGATAAGAACAAGAACAAAAACTATTTTAAAAATGATCAAATTTTACATGATTCAATACAATATTTGAGGTTTGGTTTTTGATATTTAACTAACCGATGAGTTGTTTTAGCTCTTAATCTAATACCACTCACTCTGTATTGCTTATCTTCTAGAGGTAAATATGATTGCATGTGGCTTGCCAGTTGAGTTATTTCTGAGTGGCTGTCAGAAACTCCCTCCAAAACGCGAGGAGCTGACAGACAAGTCCTCAAGAAGAGCTGCGATCTGACAGGCAGACGAAAATAGCCGATCTAAATGAGCAGAGCGAGAGCGAGGCCTGCTTTCACAGATCATTTGTTTCCAGCAGCTGAAGGGAACACCCCAAACCTCCACTGCTGCATGTGCGTGTGACTTTTTCATCATTTCTTTTTGTCAGACAAAACAAACAAACAAACAAACAAAAAAGGGATTTCATGCTCACTTTATTTAGTCCCTTCCCACGCATTTTCCCTTGTCCTTGAAAACCGAAACTCAAAATCTACACCAATGCCTCTACAGTCATCCCTCAAGACACGCACTGAACAGTCCCAGATTTAGAGTGTTTTTTAATCCGTGCTCTGCTGCTGGCTTACATCAAGAGAAGCATGTGGTTTGAGTCTCAGTGTGTTTCACAGGTTGATAATTGAGCTACTTGCATAAAACAAGTTGCGTCTAAATCTCTTCTATCATTATGCTTTTATTTTGACATCTGAATGACTGGTAAAACTTTCCAAAACGAGGAGTTATTAGACAGTGCCCCCATGTGGTGAAAGTGCCTCTGTACTACTTTGCTGTATACCTTTTTTTTTTTTTTAGTAGTGGTGTCATGCAAACATCATGTAAAGCGTTAAATAAAGACCAAACCTCAGCATGTTTTTGTTAAGATTGAAGACAAAACATTTAGAGAGATGAACAAACAAGTGACAAAAAGCAACTACTCTGATTCCTTGTTTTGTGTTTGTACACTAGGTGGCGCAGTCTAAGCATAAATGGTTCCACAGAGAAGTATGCAAAGTGAAGTAGAATTGTTATGTAACATGATTTCAGGAGGAGATAGATTTCACAGATTTATGTAATTGTCTTTCTCTGTTTTGTCCATCTCTTGATGTTAAACATGTGCCCTTGTTGTGAGATAAGTTTTCATGCTCTGGTGAAATTGGACAATACTGGAACAAGAGTGGAGCTCTCCAGCCGTGTTTGAAGTGATACACAATCCTTAAACCTGTCAATCTTTTTTTTTTTTTTGTACCAGCATGCTTACATTTTATTTCAAACCAAATAATACTTAAATGAAGTGATTACATAATCTCCAAAACCCTCTTGAGAGCCAGCGAGTGCTTTTGATGGCTGTGACCCACTCTTATCACCCATGTCCCACTTTAATAAAGCTGTGTGAGAGTTGATGGCAGGGTTATGAAATTGCCAATTTTCACACTCCTCTGCTCTTTTCTCCCGTGCTTATTTTAGTCCCTCTCCTCACCACCACTGCTCTGTTTGTTTCTTCCTGTCCTTGTTTTTAGCAGCGCTGGATGTTGTGTAACTGCGCTGCTTCTCTGTGCGAGCTGAGCACCAGAGACATCAAAGCAGCTTGTTTTGTCATCGGGCTCAGAGAAGAGCTCAGAGCAGCAGTCAGGAATAGATCTCCTCCTCCTGTATTGCTTGATTTTTCACTCTTGTCTGTTTGCATCTAGGGTGACTCGGGGGATTCGATTAATTTTTTGTGTGTGTGTGTGTTTTTGTCTAATTCTTTCATCATTTTTTAAAGTTACCCAGCTTCTCTCCTCTCCATCAGTCATTATCCCTCTGCTTCACCTCTGTCAAACAGGAGCGATTGCATAAGTATCTCAATATTAACCAGGCTGTGTGCCTCTGTGTGGGTGCGTGTGCTTATGTGTGGTTTTTGTGTGATGACACAGATCTGTAGAGTATCGTGCCCATAGTAGATAAAATATGAATGATGTATCTCTCTATCACACTGTGCACATCATGCACTCAGTGGCACGCACCAGCCATGCATTGATGCCTAGAGGGCATAATCACCATGGCAACAATATTTCTTTCACACCCCTCTCAGTGTACAGTACGTTTGTATGTGTTGCTCCATATTTAAATATCTTCATCTTAAATACATGATAACTTTCCCGTTCCTTTTTTTCTTTACTCCTCTTTATAATCATCATGTTTATTGTATATTTCAGTTGTGATGTTTGTTGGCTTTGTACCGCACATTTCTGGTGTGCTACAGTTTCTATATCAGGAGCTTCAAAAGGTTTCCTTTCAGCAGCCGCCTCTTAGTTGACTCCAGTGGCAGCAACACTTCTTGCCCGGGGGATGTGGTCAGACTGACTCAGAAATCCAACTAAAATCCTCTCTGACACGAACAAAGCTTTCAACAGGCTGAGTGTTTTTTTGTTTTTTTTTTTGGCCTTTTCAAACAACACAGGTCTGAAAAAAATGGATAACATCCTGAGAGATTAAATAAAGATTAAGAAAAGGATGAAAAAACTTGTTTTATCTGTACCACCAAAGCCAGAAAGAATTCCTTTAAACACTGTTTTATCATTTATCAAGTACAATGTTATATTTCAGTACAATAAAATGCAGAAAAACTAAAGCAAAAACATTACAAACCCATCCCCCACCCTTGCATAAAAACAGATAAGGCCTCTCTCTCTTAAAGGGATTTTCCGGCGTAAAATTAATTTAGGGTCAAACACACCGTAACACCGAGTTAGACATCCCCTCGAGACATGATTGTTGCCGACCGCTTGCTTCTCTAGCTGTATCAACTTTACACAATACACAGTGGTCTGAGGAGCCATAAACAAACCTCAACCGTAACACCACTCTATAGCCACAAATAATGCTCAGAACAGCACCTAACTTCATCAACAGTAAATGTAGGGTCCTAGCCACAGCACTAGCTACCAAACATCTTTTTAACTTTGCCTAATTTCTTTAGCAAAGAGACTAAACACACCTCACCGACTCTCTTCCAGCAGCCGCTTGTTTGTAGCAAGACCTCAGGCCAGTCCTGAGGTCTCATACATTTGAATATGTAGCTGTATTAGCTGTATTAGAGCTGTATTACAGCTGTATTAGAATGGATAATGACTGTAAGGTAATCACATTTATTAGTTGAGTTTATAAGGTACTTCACTCTTGTCTTGCCTTTCCTGAATCTGAGTCATTGTGGTTTTATTTTTACGTTTTCCATAAATATCGCCAGAAGATCCGTATCATTGTAAAAACTAACAACCCTAACCGTCGATGGCACCACAGCACCACCTGAGCTTTCCAACCCCAGAATGATATGAGAGGAAAATATAAAGAGTGGATTGTAAATGGGATGCTATTAAAAAAATCTGCTATATAACTTTCATAACCTGCAAAAGAAGTGAAGATTTCTGTGTTTACTTGCAATAACAACTGTTTGTTTTCCCAGACAGAGGCTTGGATAAGATGATAATAGTACCATTATGTCACAGCTGTAATTTTGTTCCTGTCCTTGTATCAGCCAGTTTCATACAGACTTGATCCTGTCAAACAAGCTCGCCTGTCGTCGCCCTCAAGCCAAAACAACATAGTAACAAGTTTATCGTATTAGTCATTTCTGCTAATGAAATAATCCGTTGACATTTTAATTACACTTTTGAACAAATTAATTTTTCACTGTTTTCTAGAGTCGAATGTGACTTTTTGAATATGCTTGGGATGCTACAAGAGAATTTGTCTGCGATTGTGTGGCGGAAGATAACAGCTCTGCCAAGAACAGCTAATAACCATCCTAATCACAAGCCTGCAGCACCTCGGAGCAAAGTGAAAGTCCTCAGCAGACACAACAGCTTATGTAAGAATGAAATAGCAAGCAAAACAAAACTGATATAGAGATGAAAATAAACTATAATTCAGGAGAAAACAGTCCAAGTAGACATAGAAGTGGACAAAGCTTTCCGTCAGCGCAGACACTCTGGGAAAATTGTTAACAACACCTGCGTCTGTATTCCAGCCATCTTGTTAAGGAGTGGAGCTGCTCGGCCCTGAAATAATCAGCGGAACGCTATCAGGGGAGATCAGGGAACAGAGCAATATGCACTCTGTTATGAAACCATAACAATATTGCTTCCTCACCGACACAGACTCGCTGACTGTGATCCATGAGTGCAGAGATGTGTGTCTTCATGTGATGTGGTGCTGAGCTTTGGCAGACACACACGAAGTCAAATGAAAACGATCCCCCAGTCCACAGAGAGATTGTGTCTTGGATTAAACTTGTTTTGTGTCTCCCTGTTGCCTCTTTTAGGATCTGTGGGGGGTGAAAAATGACAACTGCTTTCCCCACACACCAACAGAAACACACAAACACACGTGGAAAGAATGGCCTCTTTCCTGTTTGTTGGGTATTCTGTTGATAATCAGCCGTGACTTTCTTTTGGGGCGTTGATCGTTGGCTAATAGGAATCTAATGGATTTTTGGATGTTAATTGCCATGAAAACGCAATAAGGGTAGCTCTGTATTTATGTGTTACCTCCAGGCGATGCCAGATATGCATGCTGCCTAAATCTTAATAGCCCTTAATAGGTTTTTGGTGAGAGATTTGTCAGAGCAGATGAATGAACCATTGTTTTCCCGTAAACCCCCTTTGTGACTGTAGCGTTGCCTATCGCAGAAATATAATTTGGAATATTGATGGCTCGGGAGTGAAATGCAATGGTTGGCCTGTGGGGTGTAATTAAAGTTGTTTGAGTAAATCACGCAGAGTTTAGATCGGATATGGAATGAGCTGTCGACTGAATCAAATAGAAAACAATAAACAGCAGTTTGTTTCTTTGCCTGGTTGTCATAATAAACACCCCGTTGTAGATTTTTTTCCCTGGCAGCACAAGTACACAGATTGAAAAGCCAAATAACATCTGTCTTGTGTAGACGAAATTAACACGTCAGCAGCCTGCTTTTAAGGTTTTCAACGATGTTTTAATTAGGCCTGCTAATTAAGACAAAATAGTTGTGCTTCTGTAGAGACTCATGCCAAAATTTTTAAGATATCTTTATCGCTCAACTCTTTTTTAATCACTTTGTAGATCATGAATCCCCACTCTTAGTCTCCTACTTGAGTTAGTTGCTGATTACCTCGGATTAGACGCTCGGCTTGAGGGAACAGACCCCCCTCTTGCTCCTTTTGATGTTCAGTGCATGTGCTGCACTGCGTCAGCAAATTTGCGAGTTGGCAAGGTCCTATAATAGTTATTGAAAGACTGATTAAAGGCAGAACAACACACCTCTGCAACTTAGGGGGCATAACAGGAATATGCATGGATACTCAAAAACACAAATAAATGTGTGCGAAAAGAAAACACATGGACACTCCTGAGGGTCTTTTTTGTGTTTGGAGACCCTCAGTACATGTGCTTTTACTGGAGTGATTTTTATCACGTTTCTGTGAGTCTAGAGTATCAGAGGCTCTTAAGGAAAAAAAAAAGGGAAAGTCGTCATTTAAAAATCTGTAGAGCAGCTGTGAAAAAGCTGCAGTTAGGCCCCTTTCCTTTGCCCTTGAACAAAGCAATTACCTCCGAACGGTTAAAACCTGCCATTGCTCTTGGCAGCTGCCATCTGTTTAAGTGTTAAGCAAACCTGAAAAAGAGTTACTGTACCCTGTTATCTGGAAATATACAAGACGTGGAAGAAATAATGACTGAGCTATTCTGCCTGCCTGTCTGTGTTTCCAGGTGTCATGTCTTCAGGACTTCTTTGGGGATGAAGACATTTTTGTGGCATGTGGACCCGAGAAGTACCGCTACCAGGATGACTTGATGCTGGATGAGAGCGGTGAGGCCAATAACTCTTCCTCTGACATTTCCCTGCTGATTAGAAATTATAATTTTATGGCTTGTGGTCATTTTAAATGGGTGCTGATCAAATTGAGAATAATTAGTTGCAAATTACTCGTTGTTTGTTACCATTTTTTTAATGCCTTGACAGAAAAGTCTGCATTTTCCAGCAAGAGCAGAAACATGGAAAATGACAGGATGTCCTCCAGAGACTGATTGAATGTTTCCTACTTTTTGTCATTGACGGAATCCAATTTCAGATCCAATTTCACTGTTTGATTGTTAAACTTTTTCCCACTCTGTGTTTACTAGTTGTAAATCTTAGTCCCCCAGAACTCCACTCCGGGAAGGTTCCATTGACTGTCTTATATTCAGCTAAACTGTTTACTCCTATTGATCTGTATTACTACCTGAACAATATCACATGCCCTCCTTCTCTGCTTGTATAAAAGTGAAGCAAAGTACTCTTGGGACACCTTGTACTGGTGATGTTATGCGTGTCAGAGTCTTTGCATGAAGGGAAGGATGGTGTTCAAAACACACATACAGCTCATTGTTAAAACAGCAGAGATCCTTCAGATCCACACAGTCTAGAGCTGAACAGATTTGAAGTGAGCGTGTACCTCTATGGAAATTCTAATACCTATGGTAGTGTTACACCTTCACTTGAAGTTCTTCCTCTGTGCTGTAACAGCATATCTATCACTCATGATGTTTATGAGGTGATTTCAAGTTTAACTCATGTCCCATCTGTAAACATGGAGGAGGCGGGGCTTATGCTGTAGTTGCTAGCATCTTTTTTTGGTCTATTTTCTTAGTTCCGATTTTCCTCCACAATAAGAAATTACTTAGTCATTTCAGACACAATAAAAAAAGAGATGATTTATGTAAGGCATAGCGAATGCTCGCATAAAGAGGAAAGTGCGTCTAGTTGGGTTGAAATACTACATTTGTTTCTCTGTGTTCTGTTTTGTTTTTGTGCCTTCCCCCCCATTACATCATGTCTTTTCACTAACACAGCACTGCCTGTCTCCTGCCTGCATGACACATCACTGTGGTTCAGGTGGCAGAGGACTGTGTGGGCTGTTCGGTTCATAACGCTCCATTGTCTCCTGCCACTCCTCTTCTCCTCTTGGATTAAAAATCGTCTGCTTAAGCTATCCTCTAACCTCCTGTACCATCGTTCCTCTCTCTCTCTCTCTCCCTCTCTCTTTCTCTTTCTCTCTATCTTCCCTGCTTGTTCCTCCACTGCGGTCTGCCGAGGATTCACCGTGTCCTCATGTCACCCCTCTGTGTTTCACTCCCTCTTCTGCCATTTAGCTCTCATTTGTATTATCATGCTCTCCTCTCTCTTCCTCTCTCCTGCAAGAACATGAATGAGCAGCTTTTTGCTCAAAGATTTATTCAATATACCCCCCTACCCCCATCCCATTATCTATTCAATAATATCCATTCCACCTGGGTTACCAAAGCCCTTTCTCCCTCCTTGTCTTCCTGCCTCCTTCTCTTCCCCCCTCCACACTCACTTTCATTTTCAAAATTTAATGGATGGCCTTCATTAGACTCTTTCTCTTTGTTAATCTCAAAAACAACCTCCTTCATCCTGTAAGGTACATAAAGGCTTCATTTACAGAGTATCTGCTATTTCATTACTTACTGACAATAATTGTCTCATTTCGTTATCGGCCGTAATAGCAAGAAAGACAAGAAACAAAGCATGTGATATTTTATGTAAGCTCATCTTATACTGTTCCTGGCAGTGTGGTCCAATTGGTATTACATAAGTTTTATTATCAGTCTAGCTCAGATGTTTGTCGGGGTTTGATTTGGGCTGAAATCTTGATGAAAAACAGAGATGTCTGGAGTTGTGAGGCAACGCGGCACATCCAAAGACATCAGATATGACCCCGCTCAACTTATTTCAGCACAGAGGATATTAAAGATTATAACAATGCACCATTGAGAACCTCTGTTTTCATTAAAGGCCATACACCTTTGGAGAAATGAGCTTGTAAAACTTCAAAACTTGTACATTAGAGTAAGATTTCTCATCTAGTCATTTCCTGTCAGTTGTTGTCTGGTGACAATTTTTGGGAAAACTGGCAAACTTGTATAGCCAAAGTTATCAGTCAACAACCTACAGCCAAAACTTCCTTTTCTTTGTGCTGCATTACTGTCACAATTTAGAGGAGAGTTCATTACACCCTGTAGTGCCTGATCTTTTGTTTCTGGTGAGTCCGAGTTTTAAATGGTTAGATATTGGCTCCACTTTGATTCACTGAAGGAGTATGAAAGCGGTGCGGTTTACTTATGATTTACTTGCAGTTACTGAGTCGCAGTTTTGTCGTCAAGAGAGAAGAAAACAACCTTTAAAAATACTTGACTTGAAGAAGAGGTTTTCTAGTTAATTCCAAGAATTTGGGTCGCAGCAGACTAAATCAGGGTTCCTACACAAGTATGGAAAAGTGTGGAAATAAATCTGATTAATTTCCAGGTCTTAAAAAGTATGGAAAATGAAAAATAAAGTATGGAAAAATATTTAGGTTTCCAGATTATTACCACAGTTATAAAATACTGTTTTCGAAAATAGAAAAATCGTTATTTCCAAAAATATTTCTAATAAGTAGAGGGAATGGAAATTCCATCTACGTAGGAACCCTGAGACTTGCATGTAGGTATGTGTTTATAGAGATGAATGAAATGTCGTCATATTTCTGCCAGTAGGAAGCAGGATGTCGTTGTAATATATTGTCTTCTGCCTCTTCTTGTTCTCTCTTTGGACTGATTTTCCTACATACATAGAAAGCCTACTGATCTATGATTAGTCAGTCCCTCTCAGACTACAGGAAATTACAATCTGGAGGTGGCTGGTTCAGCAAACACATTTTGGTTATTGCATTAAATTGCAGCTCTGGCCTGTTTCCACATGTATCTTCTTTAATTTTGATTTTGTTTTCGTTTAAGAGATTGTATAATACCTTAACATCAACAATAACCAAGTAATACTCCATTAGTGTGCAGTTTAACAAAGCTTAGGTCATGCAGTGTCTATTCATACTGTATAGTAAGTTCTCACGATGTGGATTTATGTGTAAGGTGTTTATTTGTCTTAGACGTTAAGCTTTAATTACTTATTTGATTTCAAAAAGATGACTGATTGAAACTGTTGACGAATACAGGCTCCTGCAGCGTTCCTTATTGGATTACCAGAGAACAGGGGGAGAGAAAACGTGACAAACACGAACACAACAAGAGTCATCAAAACCTCCAAAGCCAAAAGCATCTGCTTCAGATCAACACAAGATTCTGTCCTGCTGTGGACTGTAAAGACGAGATGGATCTGAAAGATTATAACGGGAAGTTTAGTGCATGTTTTGGTCAGTAGAAAGTGAGTGACGTCAGTACTGCAACTTGATAAACCAGAATCAGAATCAGAATCTCTTTATTGTCCCGTAAACGGAAATTAGTTTTGCAGCAGGGCTCACAAAAGACAAGTACGCAATGACAGCATAAATTTAAAAAACATAGAACAATTAAAAACATAACAACACAATATCAGAAACACATACACAAAACCACCTAAAATTCAGTCTAGAGCTCAGACCAAAAACGGAGAAAAACTACTACCAAGTAATTAAAAGTGCAATGTGTGCAAATGAGCAATAATAGTGCAAGACAACATGAGCAGCCTGAGGGTCAACTGCTGTTCAATAAATAAATTGCACTGGGGATAAAAGAGACCTCCTTATAAGGGCCCTAAAACAACGGCCTGAAGGTAAAAGCTCAAACTCACATCTAAGTGGATGATTGGGACAACCCAGAATGGCATTAGCCTTCCTTAAGACCTGTCTGTTGTAGAGAGACAAAACCCCAGCCGGCTGATTACCAAGACGATTCTAAACCAGGTCCTTTAGGTTGGAGCAGTATGTCAGGCTACACATTTCACAACTGAAAGATGAAAAGTCCAAATGTAAAATCTAAAAAAGAGATTTATTTTAAAAACTGCTATCAATTGACAAAAAAAATAAAAAAAAAACATTGGGAAGAGATTTATTTAATTCATGTTTTTCACTACCTTCTCTCTCATTCTTGGAAAATCACTTCATGTTTCCATCAAAGATGCACGACCAAATTAAATTTAAATAACCTTGAATCATGTAATTCTCCTGCTTTCTGGGAACTTCCATTGTTCCCTGAAGATGCGTGCACATTTTTTCCCCCCTACATTTACTCAATCAAAACACAGTGGGAACAGTTTGGCACCTCTTAATGCTGTGATAGACAGAGTGCAGAAGTCAAAGGGCAAAAGGCAGCGACAGACGGACGGGAGAGCGGAGCGACAAACCAAACAGGCAGACAGTTCAGCAGAGAGACAGCCTGAGCTGCAGACAGCTTAGCCTCCTGTCAGCATCACTATAATTAACGCCTCTGCCTCTCCCTGACATACTGTCATCATGTTAACACTCTACACTGTACATTAATCACAGGGCCACAACGACTGCCACACAAGCAAAGAACACACACACTCACTCACACATGTAGGCAAAGGCGCCCACACAAGGGACACTGGGTATAATTTCCTCTCCCCGCTGGTCCACAGTAGCAATGAGCCATAATGGGGTGGGGTTAATGAACAGAAGAGGAGCAAAGTTTTGGGGAAGAACGAGACACGGACTGCGTGTGTGAGTGTGTGTGTGAGAGAGAGAGAGAGAGAGAGCGGGCACTATCACATAGCTCATTTACCAGAACAGTGTGTGAAAGACCAAGCCTCCATGAGTCATAGCTGTCACTCCTGAAACACTACAATAATTGCGTTTGGAAAGCGAGCTCGCTGAAGGTCAGAACTCTTTTTTTTTTTTTGTGCCGGGGACCTGAATGTAAAAGCAATTACAGCTGTGTTCTTACAAAAGTGTAGTGGTGGTTTCCTGCAAAAACTAAAGGTCAAATCCAGTCAAATCATTGGAAGGACGTTTGCAAGACATGCATGAAAAGCTGAATATCATTTTGTTAATTTTTTTAAGGTATGCGAGTCAATAGATAGATCTCAGAAAAAAAAAGCCAACATAATGGGGTAAGAAATGCTTCTCCCTTGAAATATTTGGACAAAAGCCACAAAGCTGTAGAGATTTAACTGTCAGGAAAAGATAAATGTGAAGACTTGTTGTTGATAGTTCTTCTACGTTGTCTTTGTGTTTGCAGAGTGCCGTGTGGTGCGGCCAGTAAATTACGGAAAGATGTCTGGCTCTCTTAGCCGAAGCTCCCCTAGGACTGTCATCCAATCACGGCGCAGCAAGTCCCCTGCATCTGGTAAGTCCGAAAAAATGAGTTTATTTATTGGTTATTTATTTTAAAGCAGTTTGATGTGTTGTCCGTGCCCTTAAAGATAACTGAGTGTTTCTTCTTTCTGCAAGTGTCTCAGACAAAGTTGGGAGGTTGTTTGTATCCTGATGCTTCCTGTGATTGCCTCGTATTTTCTCGTTCATTACTTAATCAGCGTCGCAGCAAATGAAAACAGTATGAATACACACTGCATGAAATCAGAGCTCTGCAGAGTGTCTCACAGTGTTTACTCTGTGTGTGTGAGAGTGTGTGTGTGTGTGTGTGAGTGTGTCTGCACGCAGAATATGAATTCAAATGAGGATGATTTCATAAGGGAGTTGATGAAAAGGCAAACAGAGACGAGAGACGTAAAAAAAAAAAAAAGGGAGAGAGAGAGGCAGTGGAGATGAGAGGGAAAGAAGAAGATGGTTGGTGACTCAATCCTGCAGCTCCCCACAAGCCGTTCTTCACCTGACATACTAATGAAACGTAATGGAACGAGCAGAGCTTGCACTGCTACCTGCTGCATTGTTTGTGTCTGATAATGATGCTTTTATGACTGGCAAAAAAAAAAATGTTGTGAGGCAACAGAAAAGCACGAAACGTTCGCCAATAAACCAACAGACTAGCACTGCCATCTATGCATCAGCTTTGTGAGTGTGTGGCAGACACACTCGGTCAGACTCACAGCTGCTGAAGATTTGCTGTTTGATTTACAGCTTTAACAAATATCAGGCCGTTATTTGTCTGATTGCACAGATGGGGTTTTGGGCTGTGTGTAAAACAACTGTATTAATGCAAGAGAACACTTGATTTCAGCACATAGACATCTAATCAGTAGGAGAATGGGCTGATACATGATGCAATATATAGAAACACCCCCGGAAGAAGTAATTGAACCTGCTGCAGAAGCATGAAAGCATGCACAGATCTCTTTTTAAGCTCAAGAGTCATGTAGCACACTGGAATAAAAAAACAACAGATGTTGAAGTAATGTAGCTATGGAGAGAAGGGTGAGGCAAAGGGGAGGGAAAAACAGGATGGATGAACAAATGAAGTTCTTTCTAGATGCTGGTGGCGAGCAAACTTTTGGGATAAAGGTTATGAGAGTGAGTCATACACTATCTGATGTCTGTCTGGTATAAAGGTGTATACTAGTGTGCATGAGCGAGCGAGAGAGAGAGAGAGAGAGAGCAAGAGTCTGAGACAGATAGGGGAGAATAAGACTGACTCGTCTTGGTTGCCATGGCGACATGGCACAGTCGGAGCATGTAGCTACAGACACAATAGCCTGTGACGGCCATATAAGGCAGTGACTTCCTGTTTTATGGCCCGCAGTGGAGCTGACTGACGCTCAGCCCCTTGCTAGAACCCTGAGTCAGACAGTCCTGAGGTATTCTCACTTCTGAGAAATGTTTTCCCCTCCGGTGCTGCTTCCGCTTCTTACCATCATCAAATGTTCCCAGAATGTTGTTGTTTACTGCGCTGTTTATTCCCTCAAACATCATCAGTTTTGGACCAGAGGGGTGGTTTAGAGCTCAGCCACATGCCAGGGGAGATGAGAAATAATTCATCGATCTGTTGTTTGAACCTGACCGACACCCTTTTTGTACACCAACGTCCACAGTCAATATTTGCTCGGAGCAGGTTTTATTTTGCAACATCAGTCAACAACAGCTGATGCTGTGCTGCGCCACATGATACCTGTTCTGTTGTTTCACATGTTCACACTCAAATCTCTGTACTGAAAGTAGAATCAAACAAAGATTCAATTCACTTCAACATAAGATCGGTTTATATATTCACCGTGACGTAGTCCACCGCTAAATAATTTAAACTTTGATTAATAAAATAACAATCGCCCTTGGCTTCTGTTGCTGAGATGAATATTTTTTAAAAAACTGTCAAATCCAGGTATTTTCAAAACAACTAGCTGATTAATCTGCCGTGTGACTTAAAGAAAAAGATAAATCATTTTGTTATTTTATCCATTATTTTTAATCATTCTTTAATTTGCTCTGGAGCAAAGTACATCTGAAAGTAAGAACAACATAAGCACAGATTTAGACAGGAGCAAACAGTTTGAGTAAATGACACAAAACCAGTTGATTGGATACAGGTACTAAAGAGATGTACTTTTTAACTTAATTATTAACAATATTAGCTATGTCATCGCCACAATGATTATCTAAATCAACATCAGCAACACCCTCACCCCCCTTCACTAGCATCAGCTTTATTGATGCCTCCTGGGATCGTTGAAGTGCTATCTCATCTTTACATGCTGAGAGAGTCACTTAAGATCTGGATCTTTAGCTTCTTCTCAAAGATTAAAAGAGGCTCTGCAGAGCGAGTTGGCCAACTCATTCCACCCCTGGGGAACTACAAAGGAAAAGTGTTTAGCTGGCAACTCGGGACCCTGTTGTGATGGAAGCACCAAACACCTTCCGATGGCAGAGCGTAGATAAGGTAATTGAAGTAGGCAGGTGCAGGAGCGCTTGTACATGAAAGGAGCAAAAAGTGTAGTTTTATCTTGTTGAAAACACTGTACTTTCCTCTGTTTTATATCATGGTGAATTGAATATGTTGTGGGTTATTCAGACAAAACAACATGCACTCTGTTTTTTTAAACTGATAGACAAGAATTTGTTGTTCCAAAAAACAAATTGGATTCCATCCTCCATCAACACGAATTAAATGGGAACAGAGTTTATAACCAAGTGTTGCATGGTTCACTCATCAAGTCTTTTCATGTAAGGTCTTAAATTACCCTTTTAAAAATTTGGATTATCTGTAATCTGAATGATCCATTAACCCTCTGTGTTATAGATTATTGATGAAAAACTGAGAGAGAGATTGGCATGTTTATTGATCACTCTCCAATCTCTAAACAAATTCTGCTCTCTGCTCTCAAATGCAGCTTTTAAATCAGGCTGCTGAAACAATACAGTGTGATTTATATCACTATGTTTTAATGTGGCACTCTGAGCCCATCAACTCTGCAAAAAAAACACTTATAAACCAATGTAAATTAATTATTTGCAATGCTATGACTGCATCTGTACCTGCAGCGTCAAAAAAAAAACCTTTAACCTCAGATGTTAGCGATAAAATGAAGAGCATTAACACCAGATCTCTTGTCCTTGAATATTTTAGAGATGATTAATTTTTTTCTATTCACTCTTGGAGAGCGTACAGTAAAGAGGTCCATTTGTCTGAAACCTCGCTCCAGGTTTATTGAGGGTAGCCTCGAAGTCTCATGTTCATTTTCCTTTCAGTCAGCACACCATTGATAAAATTCTTCATCACAGTAAATAATCTGGATGGAAGACGCCACACAAACAGGATTTGAAGTGGGAGTTAAGACGAGATAGTGAAAGATACAGGGAAAGCGAGAGAACGCACAATACATGTGCTGTTACACACCACCTGGTGCCTGGCTGTGTGCAGCTTAGACTACCAATAAGAAGGAGTTTGTGAGTGTGTGAGGGACATGCAAACACACCAGTGAAACAGAGAAACAATAAAGTACAAACAAATCAAAGATCTTACAGTGTGAAGTAAAAGCACAATGATTACATATTGAGTGCCTGTGAAAAAAGTGTTTCAGTTTTTTGAGAGTCATTAAAGGAGCTGAAATTACAGTGGATTTAGTGTGGACTCTTGTACGCTGACAATCGAAATAATCGAATCCTAATCCCAACAAGGGTACCAAAACAGCTAAAGCCTACCTTGAGTAAAACCCGGGTAACCTTTGGCATATTCTTTAAGGAAGTGGATTAGAGAAATATGGTGGAGCTGTGAGGTCTTTTATATATGTGCTTTAGATGTCTGAAGTTACCATTAGCATTAGTATCATTAACTAACTGCAATTTAAATTACATGAATATGCTCAGTGTACAACCAACGATTTTTTCAAACAGTCACAAGATTTTGGTTTGGCAGATTCAAAATGAGGTACATCACGCACTTTAGATGACAATGAGTGACTTTATCTGAGTCAAACTGTGCTGTTTAACAATATTATCCAACAAATCATATACAGTATGTAATTTTAGAGAAACATTATCTATATTTTCAGTTGTGTACAGTATAATGTGTACTTAAATTTAATTTAATACTTAAATTATAACCTCAAAACCTTAAATAAAGCAGCATATTATATGATTATTGTCCAAGAAACAAAGATATCAGTTTCAATGTACCTCTGTTTACTGTATCACTCAAGGATAAATGTGCCTTGACTGCACGTGTTAATCTTCCATGTGCTTGTAAGATAAAGGCCAACAAATGGTTTGCAAAGTATGCAAACCTTCAGGAATGGTCAGGTAATGAACTTTGAAACCTTACAGTTTTTGAGTCATCTTTAATATTGCTTTTCAGACTGAATGACTAGATAAGCAGGTCTCGTCTGGAACATGAGGCCTCAGAGAAATATGCTGAATTAATTTAAAAGCACGGTCATAACAACCATCTTATCAGCCTGCTCATCACACTGAAGGTCTCAGTCTAATGAAGTCCATGAATCATAGGTCATTATTACGTAACCTGAAACTGGATAGACCGTACAGGACTACAGCAAAGAGTTACGTTTGATGCACAGTTGCGCCTCAGTGAAAGATTTCCTATCTTTTTGTTCACTTATTTTGCAAATGTTAGTGTGTGGGGGGGAGCAGCAGATTGTTGTGTGTCAGCCTGACATTGTCATAACTCAAGATCCAATATGCAATGATCTCACAACTCCAGCTGAGTACCTTTACACACACATACACACCCAAAAGAAAGTGAGAAAACAATTTGCACTCATACATAGTTTCTCTGCCTGTCTGGCCATCTGCGCCCCTGCTCTCCTCCGATGCCTCGTGTCAGCTAAAATTAACAGAGCTGCAGATGGTGAGAGCAAGAATCGCTAATGACACGTCAGGGCGTCACCTTTCTCTTTCTGTCATCATCAACGACGTGTGAAGGCTAGAGACTTTTAAATCCAGTATGTCTGCAGAGGATGAGCTGCTGGCTGTGACACTCTGTCTCTAGCCTTCAACACTCTTTCTGCTCCATGAAGGGTACAAATGTGCTTTCAGAAAAAAAAAAAAAAGTGGATAAGCACAGGGGAGTGGAGGGAGTAAGCACACCGAATAGCAGACGCTAGCAGAAACAAATGGATTGTCGAGGCAGTATTCTTATTTACACGGAGAGCTTTTATAAAACTCATTGCCTTCGACATTCACCGATGCGTGTAGAGTACCGTGAGGCATCCTCATAGATGGAAAGGGTTGCATTCCCCTGATGGTTGTCAGTAATTCACACAATACTGAAGAGCACCGCAACAGATACATCTATTGACCCACATTCCTTGTGATAGTGTTAGCTTTTATTTTCGTTCACAGCTTAAGTGTTGAAAGTGTTGTTCTCCCACGTCAAAGAATAGTCTTGGCACTCTTTATTCATTGTTTTATTATTCCAGTGTTGAATGCCCTAGATTGTATCAAATGTTTGTCTGTTTTTGGTCCACCACTTCAATAAACACTAAAATACCCTAAGAGCTATAGTATTGATTGTAGTTGTTCATCATCCTCATGTGCCAGCATTCATGTTTTTAGTACTTTGATTTGTCACTCAAAGTCCCACTTCGATTGTTTTTTCTTTTTTACTACTTAAAGTGTTCTCAGAGGTCTTTAAATTGTGATTCTGAAGATTTTACCAAAAATCACGTTACTTGTGTCATTTTCAAGGGCTTTTCTTCTGCAGAGCTCCAGTAGATCATTAGCAATTCACCTCCGAGTCGTGGACGGAGACAGCGCTGCTCTGCACACTTTTCTTCGCGCTAGCTTACAGCCTAACATTGCCGCTGTAGTAGAAATGGCAGGTAACATAGCAGCTATTCAGCTCTCGGACACTAATGTCTTTAGGAACATGATGAAAGCTAACTTCATGATTAGCTTTCTTATGAGCATTGCAATCTGCTAGCGCACATGCTTGTTCTGTGATCGTCCTCTGAATTTCTCCTCTATATGCAGAGTGTGGTCTGCATGGCGGGGCTCCAGGGGCAGAGCTTGGATTGGTTACGTATGAAATCTCGCTGTGTTTGAAACTGCCATTTGGGTCTGCCAGAGATTCACAGCGATTTGAATGAAGAAATACTCAGAAAAGGAATTCCGCATTTAGTTTGCTCATGATATGTCCTGTAGCATCAGAAAAATGCCATATGATCATGTAAAAAACAAGGAAAACATAATTTTCATCAGAGTGGGTCTTTAATAGCTGTTAAACTAAAAGCACTACTGTCAGCTTAAGATGCTTATTAGCACATCTTTGCCAACAAAACATGACTTTACACTGAAGCATTGAGCATGATTTCATGACCAGTAGGTGTTGCTTTAACCACATTTAAAAGCTAACTAGGGGAAAAAACATTATTGCTCCTAGAAGTCTGATTTTGGCGCATATCTACTAGATATATTTAACAATTACTGTGAGGTTGTGATTCTGTTTTATTTTATATAATATCTGAATTTGCAGCTGATGTATCGTCCATCACAGCAAGAAACAGGCAAATGAGGGAGCTGCTTTTACATGTTCACCATGTCTTTGCTGCTCTGTTTAGATCAGTATGTTGTGTCTAATTTTGCTTCTCTCAGGTATGTGTGCTTTAGACTGTTTTGATTAATCTTTCCTAAAGTATGACCCACAGGAACTTCTTAGGACTGGGAACCTTCAGCCAAGTTCAGAGTCTTTAATGTAAGAAGCCTCAGCATTAAAGGAGTGAGATGGACACTGAAAATCATTTTAGTCTGCCATAATTTGTATCAGGTGGATTTCTATTATACGTCTCGAGCCTGAGAAGGACAAACAGTTCTTTAACCGTTACTGTCTTCTCAACTTTCTCTTAAGCTCCTGTGGTGCACGATAACATTACCTCTATTTGTCATGTTTTTACCATCCGAAAAGATTACCCTGCTGCTCTTGTCTTTTTCATCTTTGAACTAGTGCATATCCCGCAGCCACTCACTAAATACAGAAACACTTATGTAACGCTTTTGTCAGTTTTGTGCTACATAAAGTTGCAAAATGGCAGCCTCTGTGGAAGGGGCCTTTCTCTAAGTATTAGTATCTAAGTTTAAGCAAAATGCTTTTCCCATTTAGGTGATAATATGCTAATCTGAACACATTATTCTTGTATTACATTAATTTGTTTCCACCCTATAGGATAATGAAAGGTCACACACATCAGTGTTACACAGTTTTCACTATCTGATTAAAATTATAAAGGTGCAATGACTTTGGTTGGGCAGTTGTGCAACCACAATGATATAAGGACTTTTAAAAGATCTTAGTGAAATTTTACTGCATGGACCATGGTCTAAATTTAGTAGGAAAGAGTTGTTTAATTCAACAAAAGTCAATGCTGTGGGGCAGTGCTCTCAGAGTGCTTTGAGTGGTGCTTGTAGAAATGAACATCCCTGGTTAGTCAGCTAGGAATCTGTAGTTGGAAATTTGCAGGTTTGTTTTTTTTATTGTGCATGGTTGAATCCAAAATATCCTTAGTCACTTTGTAAGGCATAATATTTGTGAGCAATGATGACTTATAATGTCAGCCGTTGGTTTGTCATGGTCCTGCTGACTTATTTGCCCTATCCTCATTGTTAGTTATGGTGGCCGAGAACCGCCACTACTGCAAATTAAAAAAAAAAAAAAAAAAAAAAAAGAAGTCACAACGGAAGTAACTGATGAAAAAAAAGAAACCCAGGCCAGCTGCAAATAAAAAAAAGAAATGGTGCAGATTTTTTTTAAAAAGGCCACAGTGGAAGTTAACGATGCAAAAAAAATTGGTGATAGAAAAAAAAAGTTACTAACTGCGAAAATGAAAGGATGCAAGTAAAAAAAGCCACAACAGGAGTGAACTGCCGTGGACTAATAATAAAAAATAGCGAGGGGTCTGCGTACTTATTTCTATGAGTAAAGCAACCGAACTGCACAACTACTGCACTTGATTCTCCTCTCGTGGGTGGTCTTTTGGGGCGTAGTGGGTTTCCTGTGTTCGCCAAAACTAACACTACACCGGCATCTTCCAGTTCCTGACATGGCCTAACAAAATGACACATTGAAAAGCGCATGAAGCGAAATTAAACAATAACTACTTACTTCTTTGCTTGTCCTCTCGCCGTCGTCTTCTGTGGTTAGATCGTAAAACACTGATGCATCATCACGATTGGTCCCCTGGCAGCTCACTTCTGTTGTGGCTTTTTTATTTGCATCCTTTTATTTTGGCAGTAAGTTACTTTTATTCTTTTTTTTTTTTTTTTTTTTTTTTGCATTGCCACTTTTTTGCATAGTTAGCTTCTGTTGTGGCTTTTTTTTATCAGCACCATTTCTTTTTTTATTTGCAGAGGGCTTTGATTTTTATTTTATTTTTTGCATCAGTAACTTCTGTTGTGACTTCTTTTTTTTTTTTGCATTCTTTTTTATTTGCTGCTGTGGCAGTTCTCGACCACCACAGTTAGTAAATCTGAATGGAAACAAAAGGGGCCTTAAAAACAGGCAGAAGGAGACTTTTGGGTTCCTTTTTAGATGTAGTTCCTGGTGTAAAAAACAGTGATTTTGGTGGAAACAGGAATATTATTGAACATACTGTATCACTGCAACCACTGAAGTGAAGGAATAAGAAAAGAAAAGCGAGCATGCTTTTGCTTCAGCTGTAGCTGGAGCGGAATAACAAAAACAGAGGCTTCAGGATGAAAGCATAAAAATATGATGGGCTAGAATAGATGCTCTCTCTCTCTCTATCTCACTCTCGCTCTCTTTCTCTTTCTCTCTCTCTCTCGCTCTCCCGGTGCACGTCAGAGCGTGCGCAAGCAGCGTCCCCGCCCCCCGTGTAGTACACCGCGGCTCCGGCTCTCCATTCACCACAGTTTACTATTACAGCCGGACTGGTCGCTTGCACAGGTGCTGCTGTTCTCCTCGTCTTTACGCCGCTGTGGATTATCACTGTGTTTTTCATCATGCTGGAAGAGGAAGGTAGGAAGACAGAGCCACCATGAACTCGGGTGTTACATTACCGGCGACTGTCATTGTCGTGGACCGTGTAAACTTCAGCCTATTTGTCGTCCACTCGGTCCATATTCATATCATTTACCGGTCTGTGGGGTCTGTGCGGTTCTGAGGAGTGTCATGTATTGATTTTATAGCTTGGAGTCAAGAAATAGGTGTTAGATGCTGATGCTTTCACTGTAAGGAGTGTCTGTTTTTGTTGCATTGATGCTGAATTCATCAATGAACATTTCCAGGAACCTGTCTAAACAATAGCTCCTGTATTTTGTGTAAAATGCGTCGTGCCACGTCTATAACTTGTGTAATTCAGCGGTAGGAGCTGCTATTTCCGTTCTCTGTTGGTTTTACATCTCTTTGTCTTGAATAATTCAGAAAGTTGTTTGATCTCAGCAGGGAATAAACATTATACAATGGAGGCTGGACCACTTTCTCCTCCAGATTTCACTTCCTCTGCTGAAATAAGAGTGATACTGTCCAAATATGTGGTTATGTAAGGTAGAATGTTGTTTATAGGCAGAAAAACTTAAAAATAGACTCAGAAACAGGATAAATGTTAGAGATTTGCACATAAAAATCTGGAAAAGGGCATTTATCTTCCCCTTATCCTCCACACTGACATCCCTACCTTCATTTAGAGCCTGTCATTGTTCATGCATTAGCTATGTTTTAGTTGCCATTTCCTCCAATTACATCAAATTCAGAGACCTGTCAGTTACTGCAAGCCTGAGTTGACATGAGGTGTCTTACAGCCCAGAGATGATAACCCTTGTTTCCGCTAAGATGGCACAGAAGCCCGCGGTCGGTGCTGCAGGTTAATGATGCTGTTAGGCTTTTAACAAATCTGGCTTTTTTGCTTGACAACACTCTGGACTGGTGCAGTGTTGATTAATCTAACGTTGTAGTCTAATGAGGTGATGCCGCTGGGTTTTTTTTTTTCCGCGCTGCAGCTGGAAAAGTAGACTGAGTTGAGGTCACAAGTGCACAGAGCAGAACAGAAGATCTGGTTGAAAATGAGGACAGCCTGGTGATGTACGTTGACTCCCAGTCAAGCCCGGAACATGCTGTAATTATTCCCTGCACATTTGTCTGAAGGCTGGCTTGTTTCATGCATATTTGGAGCAACAGGATTCATTATTTGGCTGTAGTTAAAAAAAAATTGCAGTGGGGACTTAAGTGCTCTTTTCCTCTCTCTCTCTATTCCTCCCCCTCTTGTCCTCCTCCTCTGCCTCATTCATGTGAATGGCTGGATGCTGAGGGCGGAAGTGTGGGCCTGTTGCTAGACACTCAGAAATACAAGAGTTCCAGAAAACATGCATCCGCATTTATAGGATGATCCGTTTCAATATTTTTATCTTTTGTCTCGGCTCACCCGTCTCATCCAACCCCGCTCCATTTTCTCTGTCGTTTTCAGTGAACGGGACGCCGGCCAGCCAGCTCTCCACTCCTCACTCGGGAAAATCTCCCAGCCCCTCCCCAACCAGCCCAGGCAGCCTCAGCAGACGCCGGGTAAGACCAGAGTACATACACAAACGCGCACATTCACACGCTGAAAACTGTCAGCCGTAACATTTAGTGACACTAAATCTATCACACATCCCTTCTATGTTCTCAGGAAAAGGACAAAGCTGTCATCGAGCATAGGCCAACCACATCTTAGAGCCGCTAGAATATGAAGAAACCACAACACCCCGACATCTTATACGTCTCAGAAAGGGGGTGGGGGATTGACCTTTGACTTCACAGCTGTGCTGCTATGGGATATTGTGAAAGGCAGGCTCGTGTTAGGGTCCTATATGATGTTACGACTTGAAATTCCTTGTTTTGACGCTGATCTCTTCCTATTCTCACATGGAGAAAAAACTAAACCATGAATGATGCTCTCACTGACTTTAATGATTTACTTTCAGTCAGGGATTTCTGCATCGTCCTAATCTAAAGCTGAGACTGAGTCTGTTTCATTCGGCAAAAGTTGCTTAGCATCCTCTGTTAGTCACCGAGCAGTGCTTAGCATTGCGTTTTATCATAAATAAGACCTGAAAGACTGATGTAGGGTTATTTTTTTATCATGTCATGTCATTTTGTACATGTCCTTTTATGAAAAGACTTTAGAGCAAACATTTTATACTAGTAAATCAGATCATTTCAGCAATTGTGTCTTCTTATTTTAAAATCTGTTATTGTCCTGGGGTTTCACGAGCAAGAGTCATGATTTTTTTGTTTCTGTTGCTAACGTTTAAAAAGAGAGGGTCTGATGTGTAAACACTCCATATTCACTCTAAAACTGGTTTGTCATAGAAAATACTTAAGAGAGAGGAGCATGCAACTCAAGGGAAACTGCACAAGCACGACGAAGTTCACACACAGGCTAGTTGTGCGCGTGTGAGTGTGCGTTCAAGATCAAAGTATTTGTTAATCCACTTCTCGACAGTGATGATGGTGAGCTTTTAATATCTGCCTCAATCCTAATCAGATGCTGTTTTCTCACAGCAGCTCTTTTTAATTTGTGGGAGCCCTAAGCCTGCTGCTGATTTAGTTCCTCCTTAATCAAACATACACGCTCGCTTCACCTCTATTAAAGCTCTCTCTCACACACACACGTGCGCACGCTTCGCTGTACGTATGGACCTGCCTCCAGACTGCACGTGTCTTGTGTCCGTACTGACTCAAAGTCGCTCCACTTTTCTACCCGGCCAAATGAGCGCCGCCATGATTAATTTTGTTTATATTTAGTTAGTTTCAGCGCAGGGTTCAAGTATTTTCCAAAAGAGAGAGATGTCGCATTTGATAGGACACAAAATCGGATCACAGCTCATTATTACACATGAACGAGTGTGCACGGCTGCATATATGAGCGACTTTATACGTTAAAATTAGAATAGCATAAAGAATTCATCTCTTGGGCTCAGTGGCTTCAATCTCGTGCTAGATTTGACGTGCCAGGGAGAATAAATGGATGGTGGAGTCTAGCCCTTAGGCTTCTAAATCCATCAGCGGTGAAGTTTTCATCGATGTGGTATGGAGGTCAGTGAGGGCAACAGGAACAGATCGGATTTGGGCTGTTGCTGCTGAGAAGAGAACAAGGTGCACTGGAGCTTTCACAGGCATGTGTACGTATAATGGAAGTGGGTCAGAACAGATTTCCGTGTTGAAAAAAGAAGGAGACTGGCAAGAGTACAGGCCTTTCTCAAGTCTCTTTCTCTTCCTGCTTGCTTGTGTCTGAACAAACACACACAGACTGGTAATTGAAAAGAGAAAACAGTGCTTAGTTTCTGCTACTCTAAATCATTCACCCTTAAACGTCAGGGTTTGATTAGGTGAAAGAAGAAGGCCAACAATGTAATGTGTTGTTTCGCCTGCATCCCCTTTTCCCATCAAACATCAGCCTCCATGTGTTCGCTTTGTCACGCAATTCTATCCTCAGCGACTCCACGGTTATATTCGAGTTTCTAATTTCAGTGTGAATTCCTCAACTACGGATTATTACAGTTTTTGTAGTCTCTGCCACTCCATGCTAAGCCCGCAATGGCTCGTCTGGAAAAGAGAGAGTGTGAGCGAGGAAGCCTTTACAGCCCATTATCTCCCCTCCTCACTCTGCAGCTTCACACGGTGGTGTAATTCTCTCCTCCTCTTCTTCCTCTTACTATCAGTCCTGTGAGCCATTCTCCCTCCGTCCCTTTCTTCCCTGACAGTTTCTAATTTCTCTCTCAGTCCGTCTCCCAACCATTCGCCAGCTCCCTCATCCCCCTCCTCTCCCCTATATGAAAGGGTATTAACTTTGCAGGGAGTAAATTATATTCCATCATTTCCCTTGTAGATGAGTTCTAAGCTTCTCAGAGAAGTAGGCACCGTGTTTCTGACACTGTGTTTGCACATTTTCTCTCCTTTTCATGCGTCCTCTGTGGAAATGCGCATGAATACTCATAAATAAGGCGGGCGCACACAAATCCTTTGATTGTTATGCTAACAATAGCAGGAAAGTACATTTCTTACTCTGACGCATTAAATGAATCCCTAAATTTCACCAATGTATGACTCAGAAATTCCCCGCAGACTGGAACTTTAATATCTGCCTTACCTTATCAAGAGAACATATTTTAAGAATAAATAAAATACTTCTACTTTCAGCTACTAAAGCCACAATAAATCAATATTCTTAGCAGCCGCTGAGCCTCTCTGACCTACTATGCCAAGTGCTGCATTTGAATAGTTCACCTCACTGGACCCTGCATTTAAACACTTAGAGGCACTTTGCTGCCTGATGTAGGTTGCTTGTACCACTCAGACCATCAGAACCTATTTCCCCAGGCTGAATATACTCGTGTAGCCGTGCACTGTGGCTCTTTTCTTCCCTTTTTTTTACTCTTACATGACTGCATGCACACTTAGATCTTCATGGGAAGTGCACATGCATCGCTTAGATGGTCATGTATGCGTCAGAAACAACATTTTTAGACATACTATTTGTGCACAGCTAGCATGACGCACACTCACACGTGTTTTTTTATACATTCAGTGCATGCGAGTGTGACCCATTTTTATGAATCAGCAACAGAGGCATGAAAGAACGGTCTGCATTCATAGTAATTTATCACTCTTTTCGCCTCAGGGTCACTCACGCTCACTAAAGGCGACCTAATTTCCCATATTTGTATTGATTCGATATTTTGAATAAATCCTACACACATGCACAGAAGCAAAAACACCCCTAATTTTGCTTTCAGTCAATATTCGAACCTCTCTTCTGTCCTTTGGCTCCATTAGATGTGACATAAAAAAGCAGGGAGGGAGAGAAATCATTAAAAAAATGACAACACATGGAGAGTAATGAGCGACAGAGAGACAAACAGAAGGTTTATGTTGCCGATACAACAGCTGCCATCCGGTCAGGTAGCAGCGTGTGAGAGACAGAGTGTACTGATTGTCAACCAGAGTGTGTCACCTTCATCCTCCTCTCACCGTTGACTCATCTCTGTCCATAATCCATTGAATTGCATGCTCCATCTCTCATTATTGTCGTCCATATTGTTTGTCGGGTGATTCACAATTAAATAATGTGTGTGTGTGCGTGTGCATGTAAGACTGAAATGAATGTTTGTACCATGAAATGTTAATTATTGTCTCATCTCATCCACATGAATGTTGTTACTTAAGATTGTATTTGTTTTTTTTGGCTGTTTTATTTCTTATGTTCATGTTGTGTTGATGTCATGACATAGTTTATCTGATTTTTATTCCCAAAAGACCGGCTGCATCACATGAGAAAACTGTGAATCTAAAAACTGGAAATGTCTTTTTTGCACAAGGTTACAGGGTACAGTTTTTTTTTGCACTGCGATTTACGTAAGAGTAAGATATGCAAAAGTGAAAATTATGCGTCTTTGGTTAGAGGCACATTGAATTTCATAACGCGGTCCATCATCCAAGTTTTATAATCCCATCATATGATGCTGCCAGCTCTTTTCGGCTCATTTGTTTCTGTTTGTATTTTCTTTGTTTAATGTATTAATTTCCATTTGTTGATGTCATCATTAAACTCATTGTCATTTCATTTTCATTTTGTGCTCCTTTTTTTTTCCTCCCCCTCCTCCTCATCCTCCTCATCTGGGTCATTTGTTCATCACAACAAAAACAAACACTTCCTGTAGATGCTAACGATTGTCTACATAAACACATTTATCACGTTTATTCTGCTTTTGTTAAACTTTTGAGTGTTTTCAGCAGAACACAAAACTCAAGGGTGTTTTCATCTCCGTCTCCTCACTATTTTCACTTTCTTTGGTTGATTCAAACTAAGTCCTCCTCCTTTTCTAATTTCCAGAAGCGTTTAATCAGGTTCTTCGGGATTGCTGTCCTCAAGGGTCGTGATTAGAAAAGTCCCCGATGTCCAACTGGCAGAGCAGAAAGCCTCAACCCCCTCAGTGTTGATCCTTTCGGATGACAGTCAAGTAGATTATGTTTCCTGTCTGTCTAGACTCCAAAATAAGAGCCAAGAAATATTATCCCAAGTACCTTGTGTCCTTGATGAGAAGCAGAGGAGGAACTTGGGACTGAACAAAGTACCCAGTTCCCATCCAATCTTATTAGACGTCTCCACAGGAGCAAACACCAATAAATCCTCCATTTGCTTGATACCGTGTTACAGCCAAAGTGACAAGAAAATGCTGCCGGAGTCGAGCTTTGGCTCAGCCTGCAGGACAGAGAATAAGAAGGCTTTGGGATGCGTCATAATAAAAAAAAATCAAAGAGAATCTGCAACATTTTTAACCACGAAAAGACTTTCCATTCAACCCCAGAATAAATTATGTCAACCTCTTCGCAGATGATGCTCTGCTGTGAGGTAAATCATGAACATCCTGTTTAGCTGACATTTATGCGCTGATCAGTATTCAGCCACTGAGTGTTGCCCTCACCGGTTAGAAGAGCAGTGTCTGCAGCTGTGATGCAAAGCTCTGTCAGTGTGTTTTTAGTGCAGTGAGTCATAGCGAGCAGAAACGTAGACCTATAGGAATAGTGAATGTTGTGTTGTGCAACAAGATAGCTTCTGCCAACTCCAATGATCCGTATCAAGCATTCCCAAAATCCATACATCCTTTTTTTCTCTCTTTCTTTTTCACCTTTTTTTCTCTCTTATTCTGTCCCTCCATCTGTCTTGTGCTTTTTCACACAGGAAAGAGAGACACAGTGTTTATAGAAGGTTGCCTGCAGACAGGAACTGGCCATATATAGGGGTCTGTCTCCACACTGGAAGTCTCATAAGCTTCCTCTCGATTTCTCTCTCTCCTCTCTGTGAGCAGTTTCTATAGCAACAGTATTTTGTTTCCCTCGGTGGCAGGAAGGGAGAGGAGATAGGAGTTCAAAACGAGAATAGCGAGAGAAGAGGACAGGGCTGGACCAGAGATAAGGCCACAAGGGAGGTTAATAAACGAGTCTGGGTGAGACAACAGAGGAGTGCAATAGAGGAAGTTTCGGAGATAAAGCGCAGGAGGGTCATCGGCTTTAGATGCATTAAGTGGGGGGGATACTTGTTCTTGGATGAGTGCCTGATGAAAGCAGCATTACATAAACCAAATTCAGGCTGACTCAGAGCTACAGTCACCTGGTCACAGCAGTGGAGACGAGGGAAAAAGAGCTGACGACTACTTTGGCAGAGATGTAGGGCAGCCCAGCTCTGTAAATAGTTTCAGTCATCTGAGTAATTATGATGGGTTGAATTTTTCCTCTCGCTGCCATAACGGCCAGCTATACAGACTATATCACGAACTGACTGAACACCATAAAGGAGAGAGGTTCAAATGAGGTAGTTGAGAGCGTCTTATAAATGTCTTACACAAATTTGTCTTTTGTTAGAGCAGTGAGATTATTTTAAATTAAATAAAAGAATATAAAACAGCATTTCTCTGTTGATATATGATATATTTAACCAAATATTATAGTCACTGTATCGGAAAGTGCGACTCCAACTAACGTTTGACCGCTCAAGAAACTGTGAAAGAGGTGAAGTTGAGGTCAAAGCCTTACTGCAAGACCTGCAGTAAGTTTTTTTTCTCTTTATTTTCAACACCAGAGTTTCCAGGTGATTTAGAGACAGTATTAAGGCACACCTCGAGAAGACAAGCCAGGGCTCTCTGTTGAGATCTGATTGATCACCCCTGATGGTCCCCCCAAAATTCCTAAAGTACGATGGCTATCTGTCTCATCAGAGGCAATTTTAAAACCCACTGTTTGGGCTGTGGCTGCTGAAAGCCTTTATTGGATTTCAATTTGGTTCATTTCCTTTTGTTAAGACTTTAAATTATGCCTCTGGACAACCATCTTTTTTGGAGTCTATAAAGACCAGAGAAATATGCACAGGATGATATAACATCTGATGACTAAGGGAACCAGAAAGGGTCAATAAGTGCCAGTCTTAGTTTCTTCATACTGGTCAGACCTCTGGTAATATCAAGCTTTTATCAAGCTGTAGTGATGTACTGCTAAAATTCCTTGGTGCCAAATCTTGCACCCATCATAGGGTTACACAAACTCGCCTGGTTATTATCACCACAGTGGCCTGCATCCATTATTTCAGCAACACTCTGAGGATCTCTCATCTCCTCGAAAGGTGCCAGGAGAGTATGTGTGAGTCATACAATGTGTTATGAATTCATCATGAGAGCGTTCAAAAGATACACCTGCCACTGAAATGACAGACTAAAGAAAGAGTGTATCATCATCATCAGCCAGACAGCATTAGTCAGAGGAAAAGCCACTGACAAATTGCTGGTGCTTTGCTGTCTCTGGGTGTTACATTTCTGGCAAGTCGCAAATCAAGACTGGCTCATGTGTTACACATGTAGTCCAGACCGTTTACAGCTCAAACTGCACTCGTTAATAATTCACATCAGCTCGGGGGTCCGCGTTTTAGTGAGATTGTGCCCAAATCCCCTTTCATCAGCCAGGTTGCACAAGGCTGGAAACCTTCAGAGTGTGATAATCTTTCACAAATAAGATTCCAAAGAAAGTGAGAAAAAATAGATATTTATCTTCTAAATGAAGGGACCCACTGTTCTTTTAAAAGATGCAACATTATATAAGACTAAATTTGTTCTTGAACAGCAGAAGATGGACAGGAGTAGAGGAATGCCAGGACTAGAGGAATCTCATTTACAGTCTCCACTAGGTCCTCCCTACCCTCGCTGCTTCCATGACAACCAGACGGAAAGTTAAAGATGGAGGGCGTAATGAGTTTTTGTCTCGAGATAGTTGCAGACGCTGCATCTCAGCAGCTCTCTTTTTGACTTAATGACCTCCCATACTTACAAACCGGATGAAAAGCAGTGCTCATCCACCTTCATTAGTGTCACCCAAACCTGTGTTTTTATGTTTCATTGAAGGCAGGAGTGAGTAGGTGTAATTATACAGGTATTACTTAAGGGTCTGCGAATGGAAAAAAGAGCTTATTGGGATGCACTCATCTGTTCAATGTGGACACACACAGGTGCTTAGCTGAGTAAGTAGGCGGTTTGTATTCAGCCCAGTTCCTTAAGTAAATCTGATCAGGCTCTTGAGCTCAGTGTACACAGGCTAGAATAACACAGCTGACAGACATGCAAACACAAAAGCAGACTTAAGGATGCTCTGGGGATAGGGGGGGCTGCATAGGAGCCGTCACAGGAAGGACTGTTTCTTTGTAAAGTGTGAAGTTACCTTTAAACAGATTAAAAATGAATGACTCCTCATTTCCTCTCTGTGCAGGGTTCCCAGGGCTCTTCCACCTCGCTGTCTTCCACTAAAGTGTCCAGCTCAGTGGAAGACGGGGATGGAGTTGTGAATGAAGGTGAGAAAAAGATGTATGTTACAAGAACAGCCCATCTGTCTATCAGCGCAGTGTGCAAAGGCGGTGTACGTGCGAATATCATGCATGTATGAATCATGTCTATGACCTTATGATGCATCACTCTCTCTCTCTCTTCCTCGCCCACCTCTACTGTCTGCATGTTCTTTCGTTGATTTGTACTTTCTGTTTTCATTGCTTTGTTTCCATGCATCGTTTGGCCTCCGATTCCAAAAATCTGTTGTGTTGAGTTCCTCCTCCTGAACTTTCTTCTTCTTCTTCCCTCTAGCTGAAGTTGTAGTCGACGAGGTTCCAGCTGTGCCATCCTACATATCAGACCGCTACAAGGTGGGACGCACGTTGGGCGACGGAAACTTCGCAGTTGTCCGGGAATGCGTGGAGCACTCCACAGGACGGGAATACGCTCTGAAGATTATCAACAAGGGGAAATGTAGAGGCAAGGTAAACTACGAAACATGAGAATATACAAGGTTTCTTATTTAGTTAGTGAAACATGTCCGACAAAGAGCTTTTGTTCTCTAAAATCAGCTCAATAACTACATTTCAAGACAACTCCGCATTGAAAATATTCTTCTAAATGTTACTATCTACCTGTTACTTTTCTGTCTTGTTCTTAAAAGATATGTTTTGCATTATTGAGGCCATATTCTTGTTTCTTCAGCTGCTCAGCCATTTCTTTCCCCAGCTAAACAAACAATCTTGTTTGCTTTTAGACAGCATGACAAGGCACCAATATCAATTTTTGTCCATTTCATTAACATTAAAAAACTCCTCATAGGTGCTTTAAGTCCAAATTTTAGACTGGAAGAGGGTCTCAAGATCATATAAAACAAAATTTACAAATTCCAGGGGCAGCAGAGCTCTCCTTTTCAGCCAATCTAATCCATTTCTTGTCTAATTTCAGGAACACATGATCCAGAATGAGGTGGCCATCCTCCGCAGGGTCAAACATCCAAACATCGTTCTGCTCATTGAGGAGGTGGATACATACAATGAACTCTATCTGGTCATGGAGCTGGTCAAGGTGTGTAGCCTTTTAATCTCATGTATCTTTGAATTATTTGCAGAAATATCAGAGAGTGTCAGAAAATACGCTGTATAATAAGCATTTGGTTTGGTGGTCCGTATCTCCAATCTGTGAGAGGGCAAAAACACCAACAGAGAAAGAACATTGAGCCTGTGAAGCAAATGATAAATTCCAACCAGTCACTCAGTGTGGGACAGAGGGAACCAGTCTGTGGCCGCGAGCGCTCGTGTGTTCACATTCTTTATTCTCTCTGGCTCTCTGAGTCAAGAAATGTTTGTGCATAATTCAGGAGCCAGGAATGTGATCCATCTGTTCGCGTTGTGGTGTGGAGTACTACAGAATATAGATGAGAGGCAATCTGTGGAAGAGATGTGAGCGTGTCCAAAGTAGGAGGATCGAGTGGAGGCTGTGGATGAATGAGGTGGAAAGAGCCGCTGCGAGGATGACGGGGACCAAGAGCTGGAGAAGAACAGATGGAGGCTTTAAAAGGGGAGGAAAATAGTAAAAGCAGCAAGGGGGAAAGAGGGATGAGAGAAAAATGTGGTGGAACGTGCAGAGTAAAGGGTTTCTACTGGCTTCAAGATCCTTGATTTTGATGGAGATGACTCTGTGAAGCATCATCATGATTCAATGTGACAAAGTTCATCAAGAGAATTTGTATGAAGCTGTTGCAAAGGATTTCTCTCCTGTCTAACTAGTTTGGATAGATGCAGTCTACAATTATCCAGCTCTATGTATACAGGAGGTGTGATGTTTTGGCGTCCACACTCTGTAGTGGAGCTAGAGGTGAAAATTGACACGTCAGGCACCGAGCAAAAGAATTTCACAGCTCTCATGTTTAAGTAACTGTTGCTTTGCAGGTCAGACTCTCACTGAATATGCTGGCAGAACTACAGAGATTCAGGCCTATTTTTAAGCCGTGCTCTACTTAGTCTACTCAAAGAGAGGGGCTTAGAGAGGATGCATGAGAGAGAGAAAAGTTAGAAGAGGGCGAAACTCATCCCACATGAAACGTGTGAAAAGCTTTGACAAACAGAGAAACAGAAGTCGGAGAGAAAAGAGGAAAGAGTGAATTAAAGCGAGAAGTTAAAATGAAAGGGAAATATTAAAGACACGAGGAGGAGATGTTTAAACTGAGACAGAAAATGAGGACAGAGTTTACCCCTCCAGCTGCTGAGCAATGGAAAATCATGGCTGCTAAAATCAACTTTGCAGACGAAAAACTCTCCTCAGCGGAAAAGACGAGCAACTTTTCAAACTTTGGATCTGTCAGGTTCTGTTTCACATTGTTCCTTAATGCTGACAATCCACCCATCTGTCTGTATGTCTGAACAGGGAGGAGATCTGTTTGACGCCATCACCTCCGCTAACAGATACACAGAGAGAGACGCCAGCGGCATGCTCTACAATCTAGCCAACGCCATCAAATACCTCCATAGCCTCAACATTGTGCACAGAGACATCAAACCAGAGAACCTGCTGGTGAGTACTAAGAGAGTGGGAATATACTGTAAACATAGTCATGTAACATGCCGCAGTATAGCCCCCCTCTCTCTCTCCCTCCTTTCTGAATGAACTGTGAAGTGGTATCACTCTGGACACTCAGAGGAGATGGTGACTCATACCTGCTGCCCTCACACCACCCGCACACTCCTTCTCCCGCGTCTTGCTTATGCTTTCCCTCCTTTCTGCCAACCTTCAAGATAACTTCTCTCCATGTTCCTCAAAGATGGTTGGACCAGATTCAGACTTGACAAAAATATTTCAGTCCAGAGCTATCAGACTATCAGAGTAGCTGCGGTTGTCACATTCGCTCCTGCTGGCCTGAGCAAGGGTCAGATGTTCCTCTACCATGTCTTCCTTTTTGCTCTTTTACTGTTTAATTAAACAAGAAATGCTGAGGTTTAATACACTGCAACAAAAGCAAAGTTTTCCCACAATTTGCTTCTCGAATGGGACATTTTTATTTATTGTTGGAGTTTCTAATTTGGACTGTAATGAAATGTGTCTCATAATGAAAAGGAAACAAAAACAACAGTCAATAATGTAAGAAACTCTGGCCAAAACCTCAGCTAAAGCTCCCCTGGATTTTTAAGTTGGTTAATGTTTAGATTGAATCAAAGCTCTTGTGAGGAACCTTCAGTATGAGTCAATTTTGGTGCTCCCTGTAGACAAAGCAGTCTGCTTATCTTGCCCTCTACATGCTTTATTGGTGATTTTTTGTGCCTAAAGTCTCATTATGCTGACATTAGACAGTCAAATATACTATTTATTGTGAAAATTTTATGGAAATCATTATAAATTAGCATAAAGAAATCAGCAATCTTGTCACTGATGGTCTTGTTCACTTTTGGCCGCAATGTGAAATTCAGTCTATTTCATAAACATTAAAAAAAACTCTTTGTAGTAGCTTTAATCTTCTTTGTTAGTTTCAAACCCTCATTTATTGATATTTTTTAGCCACACCAGGGCAGCATACCAGGCAGCAAAGACATGCTAGCAAACTGTTCAATTAACTCACCATCTGTTCACAAACCCGTCGGCACATGAAAACACTAGCATTTATTTACAGGCATATTTATAGCCACCTGGAAAATATTCGCTGTCGTTTTTGCTCTAATTTCTGTCTCTACCTATTTCTAATGGAAATGTCTGACTCTTTAAGCACTAGTTGTTCCGTTGTTTGCTAAACTGTTCACCTTTTGTTGCTTAGAGGTGAGTTTTTAGCTTTTTGTTTGACGCTGAGAGGGAGCTAAAGAAAAGTTGTCGTGTCAAGCTAACTCGTGCAGGATTTGAATATTGTCAAGCTCTGGCGCCCTCCTGTGGTGATTTAAAAAAAAAAGACAGTGTAGCAGGCAGCATTGCATAACTGTGCTCTCTAAATCTCTACAAAGATTTGACAAACAGACACAGAGAATAAAAAGCTCAGACTCCTCTCTAGAACATTAAAATTCTTCAAACAAAATCAAAATGAATCTATACGTGATTAAAATACCCAGAAATCCTTTAAGTTTGAATGTGGAAACACATCTCCTCTGTAGAAAGTTAAAAATTCACAGTTTATGCCACAGTCATGATCACATTGATAGCATTGTTGTATGTGTGTTTTCTCCGTGTTCAGGTCTATGAGCATGCAGACGGCAGTAAAAGCCTAAAACTGGGAGACTTTGGTCTTGCAACTGTGGTAGACGGACCCCTCTACACTGTCTGTGGGACCCCAACTTATGTAGCACCTGAAATCATTTCAGAAACAGGGTAAGAGACACACTTCCTGTTGGTCTTAAAGGGAAACACTGACAGGCTGTGCTTTTAATAGAGTGAATAATCCTTTGCATGATCACTTTAACTCAGTTTATTGATTTTACCATGATTTGAAAATATACAAATTATGTATCTTTGTACAGGTATGGCCTTAAGGTTGACATCTGGGCAGCTGGAGTCATCACCTATATTCTACTGTGTGGTTTCCCACCTTTCCGAGGGTATGTCCACTGCGTATACATGCTGATATTTTAATGTCCCAATAGGGTGAATCAGAGCTGTATTTTCTTTAAGTAAAATCACCTAAATGTGAAAATGTCATTCTGTTTGCAGGAGCAATGACGATCAAGAGGTGCTCTTTGATCAGATCCTAATGGGACAGCTAGAATTTCCTCTACCGTACTGGGACAATGTGTCAGAGACGGCAAAGGTACACATCTTTTTCTGTTTATGGTGGATCGACACGTCTTTGAGAAAACCCTGTAAATAAAAGAACAAAAATTCACTGACTTATTCTTGCTGCAGGAGCTGATTAGATCCATGCTGGAGGTCGAGGTGGACCAGAGATACTCTGCCCTCCAAGTGTTAGAGCACCCTTGGGTAACTGTAAGTACTGTTTTGACTGAGCTCATTAAAACTCTTACACTTGTTTTCTTGTGTACAAAGACCGATGAAAGATTAAAGATTTTTTCTTTTCTCTATCAGGATGAGGGTCTGTGCGAGAATGATCATCAGCTGTCTGTAGCAGGGAAGATAAAGAAGCACTTCAACACCAGCCCAAAGGTCAACGACACCACTGCAGGAGTGTCAGTCATTTCCGTAAGTTACTACTGCTGGAAACCACAATACCCATGATTCAACTGGTCTAATAGTTTTGTACAGATTCTGATAAATATATATATATATATATTTACTTTATTTTAAGTCAGTTGTATTCTCTCCTTTTTTAAACAGATACAACTTTCAGATTCTGGTTCTCTTTTTTCGATGAACTGGTGTTTAGATTGATTTTACTGGTTTCTCTTTGTGTTCAGTTGGATGACAGCTTTTCTATGCAGAGATCTGGGTCGTTGGATTTCTACCAGCACCCGGCCATGTACTGGATAAGGTACGCCAGGTTTCCATAGAGACACAGCCAGTTAGTCGGTCAAAACCCAGCAAATAGTGTCTCTCCTCTTCGCTGTACACGGCCTCGCTTATTGGCTGCTGCTTCTGCTGCGTTCACAGCATCATGTTGTCGCCGCTCTGTTGTCTTTGTGCCTGGCTTTTTGATTTGTCTCCCCTTCTCTGGAAATGCATATTCCTCCCAGTATATGCATTGTTGTTGTCAGTGATATTTCAAACCTTGTCCTCTCTGTTGTGCTGCTGTGTATCCCTGTCGCCTGGATTTCACTGCTTATGCATCAGGAGGTGGAGTTGCCCATATGGATGTTCCCGTGTCTGTTTCTTCTGAATGTCTCTGTTGAACATTTACTCTGAAACAATCTTTTATACATAGTAAAACAAGTCTGTGTCGGTGAGATTTCAAGTAAACCAAGTTTTTCAGTATGTTTTTTTATTGATTCCCTGCACCCTGCCTTGCTGCCTCTACTTATAGCATGGCTTGCTTTTCATCTGCGATTGTCAAAACTGTTTTCTGGAGGACCCAAAGATTCATGATTACCAAAATGTACGGTGGAATTCACTGAATGTTTTTTAGTAAGTTGATGCCAACAAGAGAGGTTAATATCAGGCTTTGATTCATTGGTAGCAGAAGATAGTATATACTTTTAAATTTTAATGTTATTTGGCACTAAAGGTCGATTATAAACAACAAAAAGACAAAATGTGATTGGATACACAGACACTTAATGATTTCTATCTGGAGATGGCAAACAAAGATCATGAGTCATTAGCTAAGCCAAACAAGAGTTAACATCGGCATTCAGCGAATGACTCACTCATGTCACTTACAGTAAAAGGGCTTTAAAAATGTACAAGTGTACAAGACTCTCTCGGTCCTCCACACTGTATAAAACTCTGTGAAACCCGATTGTTACATCAGGGGGGTTTATATCATTCTCCTGTTCCTGTCTCCTTCAGGCCACCCCTTTTGATAAGGAGGGGCAGGTTCTCAGACGAGGACGCCACCCGGATGTGAAGCTGCTGCCCTTGCAGATGATGCCGACAGTGACCACAGTAACATCAACGACAAAAACACTGCGGGCAGAGCCTCCTACTTGTCTCCCCAGCCTGCTCCCTCTGACCCCTGACACTATCTCTGACCCTTCCCCAAACCCCAGCCTCCCATCTGACTCTGATGACATCTCCATCAGCTCCACCAGTAACGCCTGCTCCCCCAACTCGCCTTTCTAGAGAGGAGGTGGAAGAGGGGTTGGAGAAGGTGAGAGGAGCAGGGAAAATCCTCATCCGGCTCCTCCCTGCATAGGAGGAGGAGGAAGAGGAGATATCAGCTTCCTCACAGTCTCTAAAACAAACACAGGGCGAATGGGGGAGAACTTAAAAAAAATACTTGAACTTAAAGCTCCCCTCAAACTGTCTCTCTAAGTCTGGTGGAGAGACAGACCAAAGGATGGGTGGAGGACAAAGCGGGGTAGAGATTTTGGGAGAAAAACTGAAGAAGCAGAAAAACAGAGATCAAGAGGAGGAAGCAGAAGATGAAATGATGTGAAAAACTTTTTATTTCTTTTTAACGTTCTCTCATCTGAGCACATGTTGCAGAGCTCAAGGAGCCAGAGAAGGCGACATTATTGTTGCCCCCCTTCAGTGATGATCCGAGCTCGACATGGAAACTTCCTTAGGGTGGAGCAGCTCTACAAGGCAATATGAGAATATGGACCAATGTTCATGTTTTATTGAACCTTATTTATTCATTCTCGAGTCACTACACTTTTTGATATGTATACCCTTTTTCAAGAAGGATTTTTTTGTTGACCTGTCCTTAGAGCTTGAGGGAAAAGAAAGACGGAGAAAATGTGTAGAAGTAGATCTCATGTTTTGTAGTAGGTTATGGTAGAGCTGAGGAGAAATAATTTTTCTTACAAATATGTTTAAAAAAATAGTGTTCATTGAAAAAAAAAAAAAAGATAAATGTGAGATCAAAGTCAGCACTTGTGCTATAATTCTGTGCTCCACACAGTTTTGGCGTTGCCTTCCTGTAATGTTGGATTGCAGTATTACAGTTTACATTTTACACAGACTGCTGTTAAGACAATAATGGTGCATTCAATTCCTCCTTGTTATTTTGTCAACTGCTTCTTCATTTACCACATCTTCATAGACTTAAAAAAAAACAAGCATTTGGGTGCATGTGTAGCAAACTCAACATTTGAACCATACCTTTTCTCAACGCACACATTATGACTGTCAGTCTTTACTGATATGAAATTAAACTTGACCTTTTTTGATGCTCATGTACACATTTTAAGCTTTGTTCGCATTTTTTCCAACACTTAAAGTATATTTCATGCATATATTCCAGCAGCGGAGAAAGACATAAATGCCACCATGTTTTTTTTTTTGATGAACTTACACAATGAACAGTTTATGAGGGCTGCAATTTTGCACAAAGTACTGCAGTCTAGGTGCAGTCAAACCGGTCTAAGACAAAGACGCCAGAGAACCAGCAGCACTCTTGAGAAGCAGTGAAGTTTAAAGGGTAAAAGAATATTTATTTCAGCTCTGTACAACCTCATTCATGGCTTCATTTTTTCAGATGGAAGCATGACAGACTTACAGTAGCCTATTCTTATTAAACAAAACAGTTTTGTGATTAAGTGTTGTTTATATGTTATGTAAATAACATAATTTTATTTATTTTGATAGTTCACTATACAGTATATTTCTTTACCAGTAGTAAGTCTATGAAAACAGTAGAAACAATCAGTCACACAAGTGATTGGGTCAAACAGCAAAGAAAAAATTTTCAAGATGCTGAAATGAAAAGATAGTGTTGAGTCAAAGAAGACCACTCTTACCTGTACTGGATGAATCTACAAAGACTGCCATTTTGCTTCTTGTTGGACACTGGTAATGATGTCACTTCTTTTGCAAAAGCAACTGATAAAAGAATTTCCAGTAACTGATGTTAGGAGCTGTATTCGAGGGGTGACTTTTATGTATTATTTTTCCCAAATGATCTCCTTGCAGTCGTCTTCACGTGTCTGTATCTTTCTGTATCTACTCTCATCATCACAAACATACAGTGATGTGCCGCCATATTGACCGGAGCAGTACAAATATGTTGTGCTGTTAACATCCACTCTTGCTCCAGCACATGGGCACATGGGTTTTACCAAAGTGCTCTCCCTGCTGCACCACAGTAATTCAATCTGTTGCAATATCAATACCTGTACCTCTGTTCTACAATGGTCTATCAATACTAGTAGTAATAATTAAAATATGTTTCAAAAATACATTGACTGTGTCTTTTAGTGAGTGAAATTAGTGCTTCTGTATGACCTCTTTAGGCAAAGAAAAGGTTTTTTATTTAAACGTATTGCAAACTATACTGTGACAATTTTACTGTACAATACAATGACAATTTTATCATACTATACAATGACATTTTTTTCCCCACTATACTATACTATGACATTTTTATGGTACCATACAATGATATTTTTATCATATTTGACTATGATATTTATTTTCATACTAAAATAGATTTTTAAAAATTCCACTGAATTATGAAAATTTTATCATAGAATACTATAAAATGTTTATCATACTATACCATGACATTTTTTCAAACTAAAATATGAATTTATTTCACACTAAAATATGACATTTTTGTTAACTATTCTATGACATTCTTTTCATACTAAAATTTTATTTTTTGAACCACAAAAATATGGATTTTTTTCACTCTTAAATATGAAATTCTTATCATAATATACCAGGGCATTTTTTAAAGAATACTTTTTTTTCATACTAAAATAGAACATTTGTATAATACTATACTATGACATTTATTTTTATACTAAAATATTTTTAAAAATCACATTTTTTATAAAATACTTTTTTTTTCATACTAAAATATAACATTTGTATAATACTATAGTATGACATTTATTTTCATACTAAAATATTTTTAAAAATCACACTGAAATTTAATTTTTTTATAATTCTATAACTTAACTTTTATTTTCATACTAAAATTTTTTTTAAAGTTTTTCACTTGAATATTGAATTTTAACATACTAAACTTTGAAATTTATTTTCATACTTTAATATGAAAAGTTCACACTAAAAGATGTAATTTCTAAAATTCTATACTATAACAATTATTTTTAATACTAGAATTTGATAGGTTTCGCACTAAAATATGTAATTTTTAAAAAACTTTACGATGACATTTTTATCATACTAAACTATGAACATTTTCTCAAACTAAAATATCAAATCTTTTGGAACAAAAAAGTATGAAATCTGTTTTACACTAAAATATGTAATTTTTGACATACTATAAAATTGTTATCATACTATACTGTGATATTTTTCATGGTACTCTACTATGGCACTTTAAAAAAAATATAGTCAAATATATATTTTTTCACACTAAATTAAATTTAAATAATACTATACTTTGACATTTATTTCACACTTTTATGTTAAATAAAATATTTACAATGACATTTGAAATTTTTACCCAACTATACTTTGACATTTTTTATCATACAATACTATGACATTTATTTTCATACTAAAATATAAAACATTTTTCACACTTTGTAACACAAATATATATATTTCTTTCAAACTAAATATGAAATTTAAACCATTCTATACTTTTACATTTATTTTCATATTAATATATAAAATAAGATTTTCACACTGATATTTGAAATTCTTATCATACTATACTTTATATTTTTTTTCATACTAAAATATGAAAATTGTATCACACTATACTATGACATTTATTTTCACACTAAAATATAAAAAAACCTTCATACTAAAATTTTTAATTTTTACCATGCTATACTATATGGGGTGCCGTTTGTGAAGCAGCCCATTATAAAAAACAACAGCAAGATTTGGTCACATTTAGCTTCAAACAGCATTTAAAAAAGTGATGTGAATTTTCGACAGTCATTTTTCTGCACATTTACAACAACATTTAAATACTAAAACTAAATGTTAATTTTTAAATCTAAATGCTAAATATAAATGTTAAATATATATGTTTAATCTAAATGTTAAATATAAATGTTAAATCTAAGTATTAAATATAAATGTTTAATATATGTTTAATCTAAATGTTAAATCTAAATGTTGAATCTAAATGTTAAATCTAAATGATAAATATAAATGTAAATGTTAAATCTAAATGTCAAGCTTCTACAAGCCTGAATTGGAGAAAAAATGTCCGGGGTTCTGCGCTCGTGGAGAACATTGGGAGAGCTTTATTAGCAGCCACTAGAAGTCTTCCTCCCTCTGCAACTTCATCGGTGGCTGTGGCAGCGTCCGCCACAAAGGAGCAGTATCATGTGTGTGCCTGCCTGCCTGTGTGTGTGCGTGTGTCCGTACAGTGTCCGCGCCACACGGAGAAGGGACACTGAAAACTCGAGTCTTTCTAATAAAGTTTTTGTTGTTGCTGTTGCTATTGTAGGTAGTTATTAACACGAAACGTCACCCCAAGTATTTGTTCCCCCCTTAAATTGGTTTTAATTCGTTTTCTTCGACACAAGAATCATCAATATGACCTTCTGGGGCTTTTATTTTGGCACTTCCGGTTTCCGACCGTAAATTTGCATATTAGCTAAATATTTAGTTTCGCCCAACACATTGAGATTTAATATTTACATTTAACATTTAAATTTAACATTTAGATTTATATTTAACATTTAGATTAAACATATATTTAACATTTATATTTAGCATTTAGATTTATATTTAACTTTTAGATTTATATTTAGATTTAACATTTATATTTTAATTTAGATGACATTTTAATCATACTATACTATGCTATTTTATAATAAAAATATGATTTTATTTTCAAACTTAGAAAATTAACTTTTTCTCATACTATACTATATCATACTCCACTATGACATTTTTTTTAACTCAAAAAGGGATTTTTTGAACACAAAAATATGTATTTTTTAATGCTAAAATATATAAATTATAGCATTT